TTTTTGAAAGGGGGGGGGGTAACAAAAAGAACATTAATTTTCCAACTTTTTTCATGTTCACCAACATCAAGTATAGTTTAAGAAATCGAGTCTTTGACACAACTCAAATTTTCTAATCCCTTTAAATTTGCTACTTATGATATTTTAAACTTAGATTATTTGATCAAACAGAACTTATAGTTTGAAATATATAAGGTCTACGACATTGGGCTGCAAAGATATAGGGATTAGAAAATCAGAATGGTTCGCAAACACAAGTTCAACTAGCAATTATAAAAAAAATAAAAACGCCCAACATTTTCTTTAATATTGAATTTTTAAGAAAGTAGACAATTCAAAAAGATGAATCTATACATATAATTTCTGTTTGTCTGTTTGTTTGTCCGATCATAACTCACAAACCCCTTGACCGATTTGCAGGGAACTCGATAGGATTACGGATTTGAGATTTTAAGTTCTGTGGGTCAATTTTCATAAAAGTCGTATTTTACGTATGACAAAGCGCGGGAAACGGCGGGACTAACAATAAATACCCTGGGCAACGCTGGGTTCCCAAACTAGTTATATACATTAGAGAAAATAAGAGGAAACTGCATCTGCTGTTTTACTTTTTTGATTTGATTTGTGTTTAATTTCAATCTATCCCTTCATATATTTAATGTTTTATAATTTAATTTGAAATGTGCTAAAAATATTTTTAAGATCTACGAAAATACAAGAAACCGGGTTTTCCCGTATGATAGATTCTTTCAAAATTGAATAAACTGTAAACTGCACCTTCATAATCATTGTTTTGTGAAAAACTCCTCTGATTGGTCGGCATGAACCGAATGGTGTACTGTACTGTTTATACACTTCCTCAGCTGGTACAGCAGGATCATTACTGATACAGTATCCTGACACAGAAACAAAGCTAGATAAGAGAGTACAAAGAGATTTATCAAAGTTAAAATCTGCGAAATGTTAAGTTGTGTACAATTGGAGTACACGTCCAATGAGAAAACATCTGTCTTTAGGAATATTTGAGGATCCTTAAAATAATAATATAATGTTTCTTTAAAAATTGTAAAACTTAACCCGTGAATGGGTATTATTGCAAAAAGAGGCCGTTAGATGGAAGTTAAAACACCTGTTGTGGGAATGTGGCATGTCATGTAGTTACGACTATTGGCTTAGTTAGCCCAGCTAGTGAAAGGTGATTATATCACTCACATTCTGTTCATTAATTGAACAAAATACTCATAATGCGCAATGATTTCGATCGTTTAATAAACAATCTTACGAAAAAAGTTAAGAGAAGCTAAATAACATGTTTTCTGCAATATCTCCATTTATTTGCCTTTTCTATCTATATACAGTATTAACCAAAAAATTCTTGAATAGGAGGTAGACTTTTAGACTCAATATATGACTTTGAATAGTCCACTGAACATGAGACACAGCAATAGTACAGTGAAGCAGACCCATTTTACTTATTGAGTGATTTAACAACTTAGAAGTAAAGCTATTTACTTTGTAACAACATCAAATGCACTTTAGCATTGCTTTTATGTCGTCCTCCTAGTCTATATTTTTATGGTCATCATTGTATTTATGTATTTTTAAATATTTAATTGNGTGTTTCAATATTAATGTGCAGTGTGTGTGTTTTAATATTAATGTGCAGTGTGTGTGTTTCAATATTAATGTGCAGTGTGTGTGTTTCAATATTAATGTGCAGTGTGTGTGTTTCAATATTAATGTACAGTTTGTGTTTCAATATTAATGTGCAGTGTGTGTTTCAATATTAATGTGCAGTGTGCATGTTTCAATATCAATGTGCAGTGTGTGTGTTTTAATATTAATGTAAAACGTGTTTGTTTTCTACGTCTGTATATGCGCACTGTCTGTGTATATTTGTAATTAAGTTTAAAGGTGGTTTAAGTTTTATACAAATAATCTTTTTAAAACATTCTATTTAGATGGCATTTTCAAAATATCAATAGAAAATACAACCTTTCAAGGATGCATTAATGTAATAGGTTTGATTGAATTTTTATTTATTTATAACTAAAAGATCGTAGAAATGAAAAGTTTACCGAATATGTTGATCCTCTTAAGGGGAAATTGAACTGGTTAAAGTTTGGCGTATCATGGTAAAGGATTGTCGAAAGACGACCTAAAACATTGAAAACAACATTTTTAAAGAAGAAAACAATATTTTCAAAAGGGTTGAAGATATAATTTCTATTATTTGAAGTTTTGTGTAACTCCGAAAAATAGATGATAATGTTTGTAAAATGTAAAACAGCTGGCATGCAAAGTTATCAAGTTTTGTGATGAATTGCTAGTTTTCACTAATTAATGTGTCGATGTAGATCATTAAGGCCACTCTACACTCTACAGATGGACACTTAAAATTTGTACTTAAAACTAAAAGCTATTTTCAAAGAATGTAACATTTTTTTGCAAACCTTTGCATGAATGATATATAGGGATCAAAGATATTTCCTACAGGCTACATATATTTGAAAATATCTAAAATTTCAAAATTGATGGATAGGGTGGTAACGCAGTCTAGGCTTTTATCTTTAAAATATGGAAAAGCTGATTCCGCTTTAAAGAAATATCTCACTCCTTCAATATTAAATATCACCAAATGTACGTAAACTGATACGCCTGACAAATTAAATTAGATTTAATTAAAGAAAGTTTGGAATCAGCAAATTTAATAATTAACTGTTTTCCCTAATCACATGAATTTAGAGTTTTACATATGTGCCATCCAACTACATCACGGGCAGCCGTAGTACATTTGAATTTCCGAGCCGGGTCACCTTTCCGGTCCCTGTTTGTACTGTACCTAGCTCTATGGACAGGACTAGCCGGTGCAACAAGGTTGACGCGGTCAGACTTTATGCTTCATATAGGCTGAACTTACTTTTACCAAAGGGGCAGATTTGCGTGATATAGAAAATATTATGCAGAGGAACTGATAGTTTTATTGGTATTCTAATTTGACTTATGTCTTTTTAACTATATCGGACAGGCTCTTTATTCTATTACTGCTAGATGAAACCATCATATATGGACTTTAATTGTTCAGTTACATTGTCTTAAAACGGAAATGGCAAAGTTTATAAAAAATGTCCAATGACGTACAAACCAAAATTAATTTGTATTTTGGCTTATTCAGAAAACAAATAATAATAAGTAAAATTTCAATTAATTTGTAATCTAATTTCTAATTTTTTTTTAGTTTGGTTTTACGATCTTTCATTTTACTAAATTTGAAAAAAAGAGATTGAAATAAAAAACACTGTGTTTTCATATCGAAGCGCATTTTCTAAAAAAGATTACTACATTTTCCAAAAATTATAAATATAAATGTTAATTATAAATGAAAACATTGATTTCATAAAGTACAGGGTGTCCCACATCATATTAGACCGAGAACGGGTCTAAATTACGATTTTCGGGACTAATCAGAAAATTTCATTAGAATGAATCATTTTGAAAAATAACATAAGGCTTATATAAGAATTTACTTGCGGAAAATGATAAGTTTTTCGAGTATTAAGGGTTTATTTTGGTGTTAAAGATTGGAGATAATCTAATATGATTTGGGACGCTCTGTATACAAATACTTTATTAAATTTTAATTAAAATTTTACATTTATATTTTCAAATTTTCCCTGTGTAGTATCTTCAACAGTTTTAACAGTTAAAAGTATTCACTTTAAATGGGCTTATAGTAAAAGGGAAAATGTTCTAAATCCAAAATTTGTCTTTTGAATTTTTGGATAGATATGTATTGTGTTAGATACATACAATACAGGCTAGCTTAAATTTGAAAATAATATTATATCATAATAGTGATACATCTATACTTTCAACTCAAAAATTTATATTTAACATAATAAATGTGAAAAAAATAAAAATTTTAAATTGTTGAAATTAATATTTTTTTAAATATATGTTAAAAAAATACTTTGAACTCAATATTTACATTGAAATATAATTGCCATTCTTAGAAAGGAATTTAAGTATTTGCAAAAAATAAAATTTTCTAATCCCTATATCGTTGCAGCCCAATACCGTAGACCTTAGATAGTTCAAACAATAAAATCTTTTTGATAAAATAATCCAAGTTTATACCGTTCAGGATTAGAAAATTTGAGTTTGTGACGAAGACTCAATTCCTTTGCACAAGAATTTAAATCAATTTATGCTTATTACATAACCTTAAAAGTGAGGGATTAGATATTTCTTAATAGATTAAAGACATAAAAGTTTCAATCTCTCCTTAGCGGTAGAGAAAATATTTTTAATCACCCCCCGCCCTCCTCTCTTTTGAAAAACTTTATAAGTCTGTTCTTTATAGTTTTTCTTAACGTTAAATTCCGCCTTGATTGAATACCTTGTATATCCTGTGAAGCGTTGAACATATAAAACACGTTATTATCCTTGTCAGTCAGAGTTAGCGTGTCATCTAAATAATAACTAATTTAATCATTTTAATTCAAAATCATTCAAAACCAATTAATGAAAGACATACACAGCGTTGCCCTCAAGAGATGAGAATTTAATGACGACCTATAAAAAGCTATGAATTGTATCTAATGCCATGAATCATGTAATAAATGATATCAATTTGCAGGGAAACCAGGAGCATAAGAAAAAAATGAATAAATTTCATATGGTCGAGTCTCTAACAAAACAAAAAATTAAGATTAATTTTTAATTTCAACCTTACCTACAACTGAAATTTGCTTGAAAACAACCTTGGTCTCTTTCTCCTAGAATACAATTTTTTTCAGCTCAAAATTAGCTCAATATCAGCTCAATAACTTACCAACCGTTAGCTCAATATCTTACCAATCTTTGGCTCAATATCCTACCATTTGGCTCAATATCAACTCAATATCCTACTATACATATCTATTTCAGATCAATGGTTTTGATTATTTTCCTAAAGATGTCCATTATTCACCAAATTCAAAAGTATGCTATTGCACTGTTAACTTTGGTACAGAATCTTATTTGAAAGATAAAAAACAGTTTTTAGTTTTTTAGTACAATCTGTTTTACTCTGTTTTACCCAGAGATAAGAGAATAGAGATATATTACAGATTAAATTGTACGATATTTCCTACATCAGTTTCCATTGTGTACAACTGGATTTCAGACCAATAGACAGACGTCTGTATCAGTGATATTTAAGGATACTTTGGATAGAAATACCAAAATCTTCAAAAATGAACTAAATTAATAAATTTTATGTTTTATCTTAAAAGTAAGAGTATTTCTTTAAAAACTGTAAAAATTAACCTCTGAATGGGTATTATATGCAACAAGTGGCTGTTAGATGGCAGTCAAAAACCTTTCATATAACTGTTGCATGGCGTGCTGGGACACTATAGGTGTGCTTAGCATATTCAGGTAGAGCTATATGAGCAGTCTATGTTAGTCTGTGGTTTTACCTGTTCGATTCTCACCCAGTGGGTTCCAGTATTCCCATCAAGACCAGCTCTAAAAATCTTGCTCTCAAGTCTCATTCATTATTGTTAACTATGGAATATTTGTATATGTACCCAATGGTTCACAAATGTGCAAAAAAATAAATCGCCTCTCTCATGTTGCTTTTATTTAAATCATTAGACAAAGCGACCACCATCTTTACGCATATAATTATCTCTTGGTGAAATTCTACTACGCAGTGAATATTAAGCCTAGTAGATGTCGCAAAAAGGACTACCTCAACGAAAAAGGCTTCCACTTACTTCTCATAACTATTTAGATGAATAAATGTACCAATCCTGTCTTTTGATTGGTCAGACTCTGTTAATATAAAAAAACTCCCATTATTTGAATCCTCCATTTTTCCAATGAGAGAAGGAAAGATAATAGATTTAAGAAGGTTGATGGCATGCGCAGGAATGTAGATAGCTATTTCCATCCATTCAAACACAGAAACGTTTTGTTTTGAGAATTGAAATTGTATTTGTTTTATTTGAATTTTTGAAGGCGGACAGACGCACGAAAAAATTACATATAACCCCAATTTTGATTTGGGGGCTATTTACATCCATAGGGCTAGATATGATCGGTTTCTTCAATTTGAATTCATTTGCGTTTTCGTCTACAATTCAACCAGGAAAAAAAGGAAAAGAAAAATCTAAAGATTTATGTTTAATTGGACAAATTGGTGGGATAAACACTAAACTGACTCTGATTACCTGTAATATATATCCCTGTTGGATCCTAGTCACCAGACAGAGGTTGACCCAACACAGATATCAATAAACTTTCCTTCCACCTGCAACATCACAATCAAAAGATGTTATGGTCAGAGGAAATCCTTTTTAAAAGTCAAGGGGAAATGTTAACTTTGACCTTCACCCATTGAGTACAGGGTGTCCCAAAAAACATGGGAATTCAGTGACGAATTCGATATCGTCTTTTTAAATAATTCTTTTATTTAGTACAGTGATACCAACTGAGAAAGCTGTAATCTGTAAGAGTTTCGTCTGTTATGTTCACATTTTGCTTGTTTATGTTTTGACTGCATACGGTTGTACTTAGTAAATAAAGAAAATTGCAGTATACAAACAGAGTAAACTTTCCGTCTTCACTGTTCATCTTGCAGAGACATTATAGACACATCTTTACAGTCTTTTACCCTTTTCATAAAATAAACTCTAGCAGACATGACTTTTGAAATTAGGAATTACAATGCTAATTCATAACAAAGACGATATCGAATTCGTCACTGAATTCCCATGTTTTTTGGGACACCCTGTAGTTTACAGGGCACAGCTACTTTTTTTGCTTGTTTGTTCTTCCCAGAATCAGTTTGTTAGTGACAATTTTGTTAAAATCAATTATGCCTTTTAGGATGTATAAAATAACCTTTGTGCAAAATAAACACAATACCTTATCCTTAGGGCCCAATCCCTCTTAATCTTAAATAATAAAAAAATGAAGTGCCATTACTTCTGTGTAGGATAGGCATAGAGAGAGGATAGTCAAGCGCTACAGTTATGACAGGTCCAAGTATTTCGGCTAGAATAAGCTAAGCGACCAAGCACTGCGGCTATGACAGGGCAAGAAAATTGTTTAACATTACAAGAAGTGTACAACAATAATAATAGTAATGTGCTGAGAAAAAGGTTTATCTCAAATATTAAAAAGAGAAAGATTTATGCTAGTAAAATTATAGAATACCATTGTCCATGAGGATCCCTCAGTTTCATCGGCATCTCCAGCAGTTCCATCACGGAAGTAAACTTCATTCTTACTGTCCAAACCCCAGACACCGAAAGATCCAACACTGATCTGAATATTAACCCTATAAAGGCTAGGGGGTTTGAATCTATGTATAGACGGGGGGGCCTCCCACGCCCCCCCCCCCCCTAAAAAGGCCTTAGAGAATATGCATATGGCTGAAATACATGTTCATAGCCCAATTTTTCAAGGCCAGCTTATTGAAAAAATAAGATCGATAACTTGTATAATTTAGGTGCTAGGGAGGGTTGATAAAAAGGCAAAAAAAGTAAAAAAATGCAAGAAAAAAAATTTGTTTTAAACAAATAGCAAAGTGTGACACATTTTTCTACACCAACTTTCCAAGATTTTTAGATCTGTAGCTTTAGTCATAAAAAAAGTTATATAGGCTTTTTTAGATTTTATTTTTTACACAGATTGGACTTTCACCGCCTTGTACCCTACCCTATGCTTTAAAAAAATTTACAAAAAATACTTTAAATTTCTATTTATTAAAAGTAAAAAAATTTCACTTTGATAGTTTCAAAAAAGAGAGTGCTAGGGCAAAAAACTAGAGCGGGGGTGCCAAACGCCCCTCCCCCCACCCCCAGCTATTTAGGGTGAAGATAAGTTGGCAAAAATCAATAAAGGGGATCAATAATTAGTTGTCACATCGAAAAAGGGGTCTAGTCATTGACCATGTTTTTTCATGGTGTGTTACACAGCTAAAATGTGGAAAAATCAAGTAAAATTAACCACAACAAAGAACATCCAAAATATTTTGATTTCTAATTAAATTCAATTGAAAATATGTAAATATTAAATTTGAATTTTAAAATATTTAGTCCAACAAAAAAATGTAGAAATGTTACAAAGTTACGACTCACTGACTTTTAACTATAGTACCACTAATTTACCGTGAAATCTGTATGAAGTTTATGTAAGATGTATAAACCTTTGCAAGATTTCCAGAAATATGCTTCCATGTTGATCCAGTTGGAGAGTCTATCTTTGCACCCTTTCTCCACCAAACTCTGAATCAAATAAGTAAAAATCTTTTAATAAAACTTTTTGGTTTACAATACTTGTGTCAAAAGTTTATGATACTAGGCGTTAGGGGCGCTTTGCACCCATCTTCTATTTCAATTGTGAACATGTTCTCTTTGTATACATTGTAAAACAAAAACAAAACAATAAATCACGGATGTCATAAAAAAGTTTGTATTCTCAAAATTTTCGAACTTTGTTAGAGTCAAATTTTTGAAAATTCGTTCATCTATAAACCTTTCCTTGGGTCACGCGAGTTCCAACAAAAAAAGTGGGCCAAATAGGTTCAGCCGTTTTGTCATTTATTGAATAAAAACAAACACCCCAGACAGACAAGCAAAGTATATATACTAGGCTTTCAGGGCGCTTCGCGCCCATCTTCTATTTCAATTTTTTACAGACATTGTAAAACAAAAACAACAAAAAAACTTGGGTTTTATAAAATAATTCGTGGATTTTCAAAATTTGTTTAAGGCTAATTTTTTTAATTATTTGTAAACCTTCCCTGGGGTCACGTGAGGTTCCACAAAAAATGTGGTCCGGATCGGTTCAGCCGTTTTAACATTTATTGGACACAAACAAACAGACAGAAAAGTATATAGATAGATAGGCTTCCAGGGCGCTTCGCGCCCATCTTCTATTTCAATTATTAATATGTTCTCTTTGCATGCATTGTAAAATAAAAAATATTTGAAAATTTGCGATTTAAAAAAGAAGAATTTCGTGGATTTTCAAAATTTTCAAAAATCGAATTTTGTTTAGAGCAAATTTTCTGATATCTAAGGTGTAGCTAAAGCCACAGATTTTAGATACAAATGTTTTTACCTGTCTGACTTATCTACAGCCCAGACATGACCTTTACTACTTGCTGCTATACTCTTCATGTCTCCGTCCACATTCGCCCACGCCTTTCCTGCAGGACTACTAGCAGTCACCTTTAAGATAACTTATTATTAACACAAATATTAATGTAGTTACCTGTGTTCTAACCACAATATGACTGTAGTTACCTCTGTTCTCACCATAATATTAATGTATTTACCTGTGTTCTAACCACAATATGACTGTAGTTACCTCTGTTCTCACCACAATGTGACCATCAAGATCAATACACCACACAGTGTTGTATCCAACTGATACCAGCTTAATTGGAGAACCCTGTAACAAATAGAAAATATATAATTAATAATTTAATCAAAGAATAATCCAGCGTACATAATATTTTTTTAGACTTTTTTTCCTAAAACTTTGTAGCCCAGTCGGATGAGCAAACACAAACATTAAAAACATATGAAAGACCGAATTCAAAAACTTCTTTCAAATTAAAATCTTCTTAAACATTAATTTTTTAATGTTTAACTTTACTTAAAGAAACATTTACAAAAACTATCGTTATTTCAATATTTTCCTTTCATTTTTTGCTTTCTAAAGTTCGTTAGTCTTGACCCTTTGTTTTTCTTGAAAGGAATGTTTGTTGTTGATTACCTGACATTTAGTCCAGCTCTCCCCAACACTAGAACTGGTTTTCCCAGCACAACCGGTTCTAACCCAGACTGTATTATCCTGAAGAACAACAGCTGTGATGAGATTTATCCATCCATTTAGCCGTTTTGGCGCTTATTGGATACAAAAGCAAAGAAGCGAACAAAATTAGAGAACTTGCCTTGGCAACTGCCCAGACACCAGCAGTTCCAGAGGCAACACTGCGCATAGTTCTTCCTTCCATCATTCTATACCCAGATTCAGATCCAGATCCTAATACACAGCAATACAATCTATATTGATCCTACCATCATACTATACAGGATACTTGATCCAGATCCTAATACACAGCAACACAATCAATATATTGATCCTACCATCATACTATACAGGGTAGTTGATCCAGATCCTAATACACAGCAATTCAATCTATATTGATCCCTTCTTCATACTACACAGGATACTTGATCCAGATCCTAATACACAGCAATACAGTCAATATATTGATCCGACCATCATACTATAGCGGGTACTTAATCCAAATCCCAATAAATAGCAATAAAATCTATATTGATCCTAATACATAGCAATACAATCATATTGATCCTTCCTTCATACTTTACGGGGTACTTGATCCATGATCCAAACCTTTATATAGCAAATCTTGGTTTGATAATTATACTTTTTCATTTCTTATTTCCAAACAATCTTGATTTGCCTGAAGTGTAAGAATTACAATAAACAGATGAACTTGGATAACATCTTTTAAACCAAAGATCATACATATTGTGTTTAAAAGTGTTTCTAATAGATGCAATGCCATTATCCTTGTCTAAGGGTGGGGATGTTGTCAATATAATACTTTATGCTAATATCCTATAATGGCTTATTTTGATTCCCTACAGAAATATTTTATAGAATTACCTTTAAGTTTTGCTGATGCATGAACCATTAGTATTGGAGACTCTAAGTTTTCCACAATCAGTTTAACAGACTTAAAATATAAATATACTACATAACAAATATAAATATACTACATAGCAAATATAAATATACTACATAGCAAATATTAATATACTACATAGCAAATATAAATATACTACATAACAAATATAAATATACTACATAACAAATATAAATATACTACATAGCAAATATAAATATACTACATTACAAATATAAATATACTAAATAGCAAATATAAATATTCTACATAGCAAATATAAATATACTACATAGCAAATATAAATATACTACATAGCAAATATAAATATACTAAATAGCAAATATAAATATACTACATAGCAAATATTAATATACTACATAGCAAATATAAATATACTACATAGCAAATAAAAATATACTACATAGCAAATACAAAAGGGAAATATGTCTTTAACACAAACTCAAATGTTCTAATCCCTATATCTTTGCAGCTTGATGGAGTAAATCTTTGATATTTCAAACTTTGATCCAACAGAATTCATAGTTTGAAATATCTAAGGTATAAGACATTGGGTTGTAAAGAAATAGGGAAGAGAAAATCAAAGTTTGTTTCAAAGACTCAATTTTTAAATTGTAAATCTTATTTATATTTATTTAAACAAATTTTCTCTTTAGAAGCAAAGTTTAGATCACAATTTTTATTCCAATGCGATCGTTTTTCCGTTTTTGAAAACGATTGTTTCGTTTATTTCTTCTTAAAAGCTATCATAAGTGTCATCCATTTCAAAAACGATCGTTTTCAAAACGATCGTTTCGTTTTTAGACGAACGTTTTTCAAAAAGACAAAACTGTCCATCCTTAAACAAACAATATAATGAAGGAGGAAAAAGTAACCTCAATATTTTGTGGAAAGGATTCCAAGCTTGAGTATTTTCCTTCTTCAACCAGAAAAGGGCGTCCAATATTTCCAGGCTCTCCATACAGAACCCAGGGGTTTCCTTTAATACATTTCCTATTTAAAGGGACTTTAGACGTAATTTCAAGGGAGGGACCCTTTATTTTTTAGAGAGCTGCTTGTTAGATTCATTAAGGTACCCTTCTAATCTGTATCTGAGTAACTTTTACAGAAATTCCAGGATTGAAATAATCAATTTTCAGCTAAAAAAAATAAGAATATCTCATTAATCTTTAATCAGATAATGGTTCGATAAAAGTAAATTTTTAGAATTAACACTTTTTTGGGACAGAATGGTTGCGTTGAGTTTCTTCAAGTTGTAGACATCGCGTATACTACTATTCAACTATCTTTAAACTTACGGAGTTGCTTTATTATTCTTTTCTATCTAATATGCGCCGACAAAAATAAAGCTTGCCAAGACAAGGACCAAACTGTTAAATCAGCGTGGGCGGGTCACTTGAAACTACGTGTACAGTCCATTTTAATACATTTTTATCGCAAAGAGATTTTTCCATTATTTAGGCCTTGTATAGTATATAAGGTACCAGATAAAGAAGATTAGTTACTTTCCAAATGATGCACAAATGTTTTCTTAAAGGAACTACAGGGTGTCCCAAAAAGCATGGGAATTCAGTGACGAATTCGATATCATTTCAAAAGCCATACTATTGTTATGTCTGCTAGAGTTTATTTTATGAAAAGGCTAAAAGACTGCAAAGATGTCTCTATAATGTCTCCGCAACAGGGGCGGACACAGGATTTAAGTGAGAGGGGGGGGGCAAGATTTTTTAGGAAAAAAAAAATTGATAATTAGGGACAAAATTAAAGGATTAGGACAGGGATTTAGGAACAATAAAAAGATTGTTCAGGAATTAGGAACAAAATTAAAGGATTAGGACAGGGATTTAGGAACAATAAAAAGATTGTTCAGGAATAAGGAACAAAAATATAGGATTAGGACAGGGATTTCAGGTGGGTCGGACACAGTATTAGGAACAGGAACAACAATAGGAACATTAGCAATTTAAGAACAAAAAGAAATTACTAGTTTCTTACGAATTTCTAATTCTAAATTAACGTAAACAATAACATTTACTTATTGTCGTTGATTTTTAAATTAAACCGAAGAAAAGAGTCAAGATGTGCAGTGTGCCGCGTACCAATAAAACAAAACACAATGTCTGTCGTCGTATACTTACATCGTTGGTTATAAACTTATTTTTATTTTTAACAAGCTAGAAAAATATTTTTTTCGTCCTTCTCTTCTGATGATTCAATTTTCAATAAATATTAATTATTATATTTCCATTAAATAAAAAATAATCAAATAGCTTAAAATTGAAAAACACATACGATTTATCAAATTGGGAACATTTTTTGCCTCGAAATCTCAGGGGGGGGCTACGCCCTTCCCTGAATTTGTCAGGGGGTGGGGAATGTCCCCCCGCCACCCCCCTGTGTCCGCCCCTGCTCCGCAAGATGAACAGTGAAGACGGACAAGTTTATTCTGTTTGCATACTTCAATTTTCTTGTTTTACTAAGTACAACCGTAAGCAGTCAAAACGATATCGAATTCTTCACTGAATTCCCATGTTTATTGGGACACCCTGTATAAACGTAATTTCAAGTAATCCTCCATGAAAAGAATGGCAATGCTCGATTCTCAACAGTACCCTCAAAAGCTTTGTCTGATCAAGTATAAATTAGACATGAATAAGTTTAGTTTTGAAAACTGATTATTTCTACTAATGGTTTATTTACAAAAGTAACTTTTTCTAGTGCAGGAGATATTATGAGAATTAAACACTTTTAAGTCTAGAAAAACGACCATATCTTCCATATATTTGATCTTTGCAGGGAGGATCATTTGAAATAATGCTGACACGGCCCCTTTAAATTCAATTCAGCGCACAATGACAAAACCAAAATATTTTTTTGTTTTGTAAAAATAAGGAGTTGAAATATTTTTTTTTAATATTTTTTTACCTCTTACCTTTGACAATGATAGATTTGACAGAAAACTTGCAAAACTTTTTCAGCTGAGTTTGGGATTCCTGAAATATACAAAAAAATTATTTTTATTTTTGACGGAAATCAGTGAGTTCAAGAAAATAATATTTTCGCAGATTTCTTTCATTTTAACAATATTTTTACCACCTGCTAGTTTAATTAGGTGCAATGTTTGCAGGGTTTAGAAGCAAACAGAATAAAATATTTTTGATCAAGCTTATAACAATTTATATTATTTTCAAAACATTAAAAATTGATGTAAAATATTTATATTTACAATTGTCGGAACCTTTCTGTTCAATAAATTGAAATAAAAAACTTTCAAATTTTTTGTAAATTTTACCTCCGTTGTATAGGATTCCCCTCTCCACTCCTGTTCAGAGAATAAAGTTAGGGAAGATATATTTACCCCAGATCCCGCCGGTTTCTACATTAAAAATATATATATATGAATATCGGCAACAACACAATAACAAATCTGTGATAAAAATAAAAAATGGGCCCTCTACTGAACTATACAATAAAGTCAAAGATAATTCGTCAATTTACAATCATCAATTTACAATTCGTCAATTTACAATTCTTCAATTTACAATTCGTCAATTTACAATTCGTCAATTTACAATTCGTCAATTTACAATTCGTCAATTTACAATTCGTCAATTTACATTTAGTCAATTTGCATTTCTTCAATTTTCATTTCATCGATATACTGTTTGACAATTTACATTTCGTCACTTTATATACCGTCTATTAACATTTCATCAATTTACATTTCTCAATTTATATTTCGTCAATTTACATTGCGTCGGATATTACAAAACGAGGATTATCTTGTCCAAATTTCTTATTTTTTTTTCAAAAATTGACGAGGAAAAAATGCGATGAATTATTCGCTTCACATAATATTTAAAGACTATGGGCAAGAAATAGCACAATTTAATCTGTTAGCCTTTAACCTCCATACATTTTTACAACAGCTTTAATTTCAATCTTATTAAACAATCAATTATTTTATACTTTAAAGTAAAATTGACTGGGTTTCTAAATAAAACTTGCCTTTACACTTGCTCTCATCTTGACTACGTTGTTGAGTCCGAAAATGGTCTCTATAATAAAGTAGATTTTAGTTTAATGGAGCTTCGCCAAGTTCAACATTCCCATTTGAAATTATTATAAATCGAATCTCTTGCAAAATGTTTACTTTAACAATTAATTAGTTTATAATTTTTCATCGTCGCTATTGAATAATTAAAAAAACGATGCTCTCAATCATTCCCACAGAATGGACAATCCAGGAGGATTTTAAGTGGGGTTTCCATGGAAAATTCGTTTTGCGAAAATTTCGCTTCATTTTCGCATTTCGTTCGCTGGCGAAAAACGCGAAAACAGCTAGAACCAGACAAACAAATCGGACTATTGCTTTCAGAGAGTACAGTACGCAATGTGCGTACATTTGAGTTGTGTGTTTGCGTTCCTAGTTTCTTGCTACTATCCTAACACTGCTCTTTGACCACTGTACAACGTATCACTAACCTAAAACTGTACAATGTACTGACTGCTTTCTAAAAACTTCCGCACAACATATCGCTACATATAAAATTGCCTAATTCCAACACCGTACTGCTACCTGCATAAATTTTAAACTGTACTGCCGCCAGTTTAATGTACACTGAACTGCTACCTGTACGTACAAGTACACAGTACAACGTATCGCTACCTGAAACTGTACTGCTCGGTGCTATGGCTGGGTGCTGACTGCTGATAAATACAGAATCCCGATTTACATATTTTTTTTGCACAGGAATGTATAACTCACCAACTTTAGACTTAGTCCCTTACCTTAATTTTCCGCCCCTTTTGATTTGTTCACCCCTGGGGCCTGGAAATCACATTAGAGGCCCCAATTTTCTGTAATTAAAATTTTTGTTCATTTTTGATGGAGTTATTGTCAAAATCATTTTTAGTTTAAAAGCTTCTACTTTAATTGCATAAAGTATAAATATGTTTTAAAAGTTTGACAATGCTTGACATTTTGGATAATGTTTTACATTTGGGATAAATATTATAGAAATTGTTTTCAAATGTAAAGAATTTGATCTCCGCCCCTGACTCAATCTTGTTCCAATCAAACTTTAATTAATTTTAGAAATAAATTTAGAAAATTTGAAATATTTAGTAAAGTAAGATTTATCATTTCGTCAAGTTGACGTTTAATGTTAAATGTTGATTTAAAAGTACAAGTTTTCACGAAAAGTGTAAATCCGGGAAATTAAAAAAGTTAAAGCGTCCAAAAAGGAAAATGAGTTGATTTTGACGTAAGGCACAATCATCTAAAGTACAAGTCTATGTTCAAGTTGGAACATTAAACATTTTACAATGTACATATCTTCTATGTAATAAAGCTTTTCGCTTATTTACATATATATGTATATATATTTATATAGTATTTTCAACTTTTTTCAGTTTGAATAAACCTTCCAGTTTTAGATGTTTAAATAAATATTTTCCAAAACTGAATGTTCCATGTGAAAATGTTTCATGTTTTTAGGGAAATCCGCGCCCCCTTACTTAATATAAACTTTATCTTTCAACCGTTGTTCTTAAAGTCACCCTTATTAATTGTGTTCAAATTTTTGCAAATTTTTCTGCGCATTTTCAAAAACATTAATTGTTGACATTTTTTCAGGCAAATTTTGTCAAAATTGTTGGTCGATAAACCTTCCATGTGGTCATTTTAGTTCCTACTAAAAATGTGGGCCTTATCGGTTCAGCCGTTTTGACTTTTATTGGATATAGATGGACAGATAGTCTATAAAGATAGACTAATTTATTCTTAATAATCTTATTTCCAAGGTTTTAAAAAAAGAAGTTCCCTAATGATAAAATATTTATCGTGTTATGAAAGCTTTCTTGTTAAATAATTAATTACTGATGGATGTTGATTTCTAACTAGAAAGAATATTTAGTGATAATTGAGCTATAAATTACTTATACTAGCTGGGGTCTGCTGAAGTTGAGTTTTAGTATTATACAATATAAGGGACCCGTGCAGAGTAATTTTCCATATTACCATATTCTGTGCAGAGTAATTTTCCATATCACTATATTCTGTGCAGAGTAAGTTTCCACATCAATATATTCTGTGCAAAGTAATTTTCCATATTAATATATTCTGTTTCTGTGCAGAGTAATTTTCCATATCAATATATTCTGTGCAGAGTAATTTTCCATATCAATATATTCTGTGCAGAGTAATTTTTCATACCAATATATTCTGTGCAGAGTAATTTTCCATATCAATATATTCTGTGAAGAGTAATTTTCCATATCAATATATTCTGTGCAGAGTAATTTTCGCTTAAGAAGGTTAAAATAAGTTTTTCATGAAATTATCATGCTTTGTATCAATTTTTTATTGTTTTTATAAAGAAACTCGGATCCGTTAAAAAAAAATTAAATCAGAAGCAAAAAAACCGTCTGACTTGTGCATTTTTTCCAAATACGTTTTTTGACAATCAATTTTATTTTATTTTTTCAAAAAAAAATTTAAAGAGATTTTTTTGTCCCCAGGACATGATTGGGTTGTTACGATCAAATCTCGGAATTTTTTCTATTGCGAAAGTTTGGTGTTGTCTGGGGTTTTTATTTTGATCTACCAGGGGTTGTAATCTGGCAGCATATTCATCCATCCACGCTTCATTCATTCTGAGAAGAGGGTTGACAAGATTCCAGCTTCCTAAGATTCTTCTTAGGCCTGAGAATATAGAGTGCAGGAACCCTGAAATATTGAAATGAGGCCCGGGTGCCATACTGATAGGAAACATCACACTCATTGCTCCCGGATTGGATACCCCCAGGTACCTATAGCTGGCAAACATAGAATCTCCCTGCTTGTCCACCATTCCTCTCTTCATCATCATTCACTTGGATTAATCCCACTTAAAGCTTCTTTCTTGTTGACTAGAAAGCACGCACCCTTTCGCTGCGAGAGTTGTTGACAGCCGCCCCTCTGTCCTACAACATCCGTCAGGTGGTCATAACTGCTTCACCAGATGTCGGCTTCAGATGTTTTTGAAACCACAGGTTTGTGTGGAGTACGGGAATCGAACCCGTGAACACCAGTCTGGACACCAATCCAGTTACTGGCTGAGGACAAGTGTGCTTAACTTCAGTGATCTAACGAGAACTGTTGTCACACACTCTCCAACCCGCCCCACAATTTTCACACCACCCCAAATGTTTTCAAAAATTTAAACGGATTTCGTTTTCCTTGACAATTTTGAGAAAAACCAATTTTGTTAAAGCTATGTAAAGGGTTTTTTGAACCGTCGACAATATCTTTCACATTATTGATAAGATAAATGTGTTGAGGGAGCCGTTGTGAAGCACTCCCTTTAGTTTCATCTACACTACAGTCTGTAAGGTATAGGAAGCCCGAGGGGGGAAAGACACTTTTAAAATCTAAATTAAAAAAAAACTTTTATTATCTAGAACGATACTCCCAGCTTTACAGACTTTTAATTAGAAAAATGGCAGCAATGAAGACGATTTGTTTGCTAATTGTTTTGATAAACACGATCTCAGGGACAACCATGCAGAAGGATTCTGGTCCAAGGTATGCACATACTGCCAGAATAAGTTCTATCATTGTGTTCTACATTTCGAACACTCTGAAGAAACAAGATATCCAAAGTAGATTAATATACTATTTCACTCCATTCTAACCGTTAGATAAAGTAAAACTTTTGAGCAAGTTCTAGTACGACTTGTTGGTCTCGTACTATGGTTTTGATTTTACTACCGTACCAAGTATGAGAACATGAAGAATTTTGATGCAGATAAGAAATACTAAATTTATATTGTTCGTCTCAAAAACTCGTCAACAAAAAGATTTAAGGTAAAAAAGGAAGATTTCAATCTGAAACCAATTTACTTGAATTTAATTAAAAATGTTTAGTAAATTCAGGAATAAAAAAAGAAAGATAGGATGTTTATAAAAGGGAATTTTATAAAAAAGTGACATTTTATGCTTACTTTAAAACAAAATAATTCTTAAGCTTTAAAAAGTTTATTTTATAATAAATTTTAGAATAATTGAAGAGAATGAAGTCCAGATATTAACTGATGAAGACTGGGATGAACATCTTTTAAATTACGAGGTATTAATCCCACACTGTCAGGGGCGTACGAGGGGGGGGCCGCGCCCGTGAACGTATAAAATGCCTTTTTTTGCGCGCAAATTATGCCCCCCCTAAACAAAAGTCCTCGTACGCCCCTGCACACTGTATTTCTACCAGCCAGAAGCGGACTTCCTCTGTAAGTATCTCCTGATTTAAACAGGCTGTTAAACTTTTCTTGCTGGTTGAATTATTTCTCTATACGGAACAAGATAGTCCCATGATCCATGATCCGGAAGTACAGTACACGATCGATATACTGCATTAAGTATGGTGTTAAACATTCTTATAAAAGGAAATAAAAGTTCAGATGTAATGATGTAGGGTCATTTAGCAGTATATTGTGAACATACGCTGAACTGAAATACTGAAATAAATCGTCCTGTGAGGCTGTGACTTTGTTAACCCATCTATCTAAATCAGAAATACTTACGAGGAAGTCCGGTTTTGGTGGGTGGGAATACACAGTCCCCCGAAGTATAAAATCTGTTTTTAGAAATTTATTGAGAGGAACAGGTGTTTAAAAAAAGATATTAGAAGAGCTACGATGTCACAAAGTCATACCACTAATTAAAATTATTTCCCTGTGCTTATAGATTGTAGTGGGCGGAGTATTTCTTCATTACAATCTGTTATGAGCTCGACGAATGAAGTTTGAATTGAAAGTTTTTCCATTATGTAGTTCACTATTAAAAAATTTCCTATTGATGTTAAACTGGAGGGCTTTCTTTCGGCTTAAATAGTTTTTTATTTATTTGTTTTTATAATTTGAGGTTTTTAACTTTCTTATTCATTACCCTTCCATCCTTTTTTCATATTTACCCTCTTGGCTCAGATTATGTGAACTCTGGGGGTCTTGTTTTTATTTAATTGAATGTGTTCAGGTATACCTTGTTTTGTTCTACAAGAAAGAGTGTAGTGAGTACAAACAATTTATAGGAAATTTATTTTACATAAAACTTTTTTTATTTTATATATAAAACATGATCAAAAGAGCATATGTCTGTTTATTCGTTTGTTTGCTTGTTTGTATACCATAATTCGTTAAAACCGCTGAACCTATAGGGCGTTTTTAATAGTATCTGGCATACCCCCAGGCAAGATGTATAAATGGGTTGCTCAGAAGAAACATAATTTTTAGAAATATTTGAAAATCCGTCAATGCTAACAGGAAAATCCGCAAAATTTCTAGTTATTGCAGTTGGATAAATAAACATCAACAATCAAAAAAGCAGAAATATATTTGAAAAGTTAGAAAGACTTATACAAGTTTAGTTGTAAAATAAATATAGGAGAATATGAAAAAGCAGCTGACTTCTTGATTAGTACTTATCCTTACACACCCTTGGCAAAGGTACTGGCTGATTCAATAAACATGAGAACACAATGACGACATTTATATCGTCTTCATTCAACGCAGGATTTATTCAAAATAAGGCCATTTGCGACATTTACAACTACTATAAACCATACCACTAATTTTGAGATTTTGTTTTTCAGGCAAAATTGCCTGAAAAAAAAAATTATATATCCATTTTATTCCTAATTTTGAAACTAATTACTGTCAATTGTGGTTTCCTGCCCACTTTTAATGCATAAAAAACGATGTCAAACCTTGTAAAAATCCAACGTATAGAAACAGCTTCGTATAGCAACAAGGCGTATTTTGCGGGAGAACATCTTTTATATTTTTGAGAAATAAAACGTTTTTGTAAAACATTGTAGCTTATCATTATCATTATCATAATTTCTATTTTTTATAACATAAAGGAAAAAAATAGTTTAATACGTCATTTTTACTGCTCTCTATTGTGTTTAAGGTCCCCCAGATTTTATTATGTACTGACAACATAAATGAATGATTATATAGTTATACATAAATTTGCATGTTACTATTTAAAAAAAATATTTTTTAAAAATGCTTTCTACAGTTTCATTTTTAGAAGAAAAAAAATCTTAAAGTATAACAAAGTTCTCCATTAATGCTAATATGATTTTATATTATATCTACTTTACACTGATTATTTATTTTCTCAAAAATATAAAAAATGTTCTCCCGGAAAATACGCCTTGTTGCTATACGTATGGGTTTCTATGCGTTTCTATAAGGTTTGAATTCCATGAAAACAATGAAGAATTTATCAAAATTAAACACTCATTTTTAAGCTAGAAAAATTACTTCATCTTTCACCAAATAAGTTCAAAAGTTGCATGATCCAAACCAGTACGATAATGCCTGGTGCAGTGTTGACTCATACCAGCACGTCTTGTGTACCATTGTTTAAGGTCTTCGAGTACTCCTGATACAATATCTACAATATTTAAGGTTGACTGTACTCCTCGTTCAATATCTTCAATATTTAAACTTGACTGTACTCCTCGCTCAATATCTACAATATTTAAGGTTGACTGTACTCCTCGTTGAATATCTACAATATTTAAGGTTGACTGTACTCCTCGTTCAATATCTTCAATATTTAAGGTTGAATGTACTCCTGGTACAATATCCACAATATTTAAGATTGACTGTACTCCTGGTACAATATCTACAATATGTAAGGTTGACTATACTCCTGGTACAATATCTACAATATTTAAGGTTGACTGTACTCCTGATAAAATATCTACAATATTTAAGGTTAACTGTACTCCTGGTACAATATCCACAATATTTAAGGTCGACTGTACTCCTGTTACAATATCTACAATATTTAAGGTTGACTGTACTCCATGGTACAATATCTACAATATGTAAGGTTGACTGTACTCCATGGTACAATATCTACAATATTTAAGGTTGACTGTTCTCCTGGTGCAATATCTATAATATTTAAGGTTGACTGTACTCCTGGTATAATATCTGCAATATTTAAGGTTGACTGTACTCCTGGTACAAAATCTACAAAAAGTCTTTGTAAAAAGAGAAATCAGGACAAACTACCAATTATTCGAATATACAGGTTGGTAGAAATACTGAACAAAAATATTCAAAACTAACTAAAAGCATTAATCATTGAAACTCTATCTTTTGTTTTTCACTTTTTATTGAACTCAGTTTAGTTCATAATAAATTCTAACTTACTAGCCTTTAATTAATTAATTAAATTAATTGTGAACATGTTCTCTTTGTGTACTTCGTAAAACACAACAAAAATAATTCGCGGATTTTCACAAAAAAAATCGCGGATTTTCAAAATTTTCAAAAATTTAATGAAGATCGAATTTTGATGGAGACAAATATTTGAAATTTTGATCATTCATAAACCTTCCCTGGAGTCCCTAGATGTCCCACAAAAAATTTGGGCCCGATCGGTTCAGCCGTTTTGACGTTTATTGGATACAAACAAACAGACAGACAAGCCAAATTTATATATAGACTAGCCTTAGAGGGCGCTTCGCGCCCAACTTCTAAATTAATTGTGAACATGTTCTCTTTGTGTACTTCGTAAAACAAAACAAAAATAATTCGCGGATTTCACAAAAAATTTCGTGGATTTTCAAAATTTTCAAAAATTTAATGAAGATCAAATTTTGATGGAGACAAATATTTGAAATTTGATCATTCATAAACCTTCCCTGGAGTCCCTAGATGTCCCACAAAAAAATTGGGCCCGATCGGTTCAGCCGTTTTGACGTTTATTGGATACAAACAAACAGACAGACACCAAGACAGACAAGCCAAATTTATATATAGATTACTTAAATGTAAACCTTTGTTGCTATATAATGAAATATGATTATAATTTTGAATCAATATTTTTGGGGATTTTTAAGTAAATTAATTTAACTCTCCAAATACACATAGTTTTAATTTCGCGCATTTTTCCTTCTATGTGTAAAGAGAGGAGACGTATTTATCCGATTACACTGGACGGATTGAAAACAAAACTCTTATCAATTTTGTAAACCTAATTCGAGGACCCTCGGTGCAGGTAGGTACACATTAAAAAATCACAATAAAACATAACATAAACATAATTTTAATTAATTTATGATTTCTTTTATATATCTAATAAGTTAAGAAATTTGCTCTCACGAAAAAAGTGAACAAAAAATTGAATATACTTTGCAAATCGTAGAGAAAAAATGACTAACTTTTTTTCTGGCCCAGCAAAGTAAATAAGAATGTTTACAGAATATTGAAAGTGAAGCGGAACTTGATGAAGTTTTTAATAACTCTACAAATAATGTTTTCATCAGGTGAATATTCTTAGAATAAATTTACAATTTTTCATTTTCCTTCCAATCTCCGGTTCTTTAATCTTCATACATCATAAAATATACTTTTAGACAACTTTCAATTTAACTTGAGTACATTTTCTGCACTCCAGCTAGGGATGAACTCAAACTCGAGTTTTTAAATACTTTTATGTTTATTTATACAATGTCATACTCCCTTCAGCTAAACCTATTTGCTAGTTGTATATATATAATTGCAACCTAATGTTCTAGACTCTTAATATTTCAAGCTCTGAAATCTGCTAGATCAGAATGACAAAATCTAAAGTATTAAAGGTTTAGAAGTAGCTGGGGCCCCCCCTCAGCGCCCCCCCCCCCTGAATAAATGGGGCGCTCAACTTAGAGAGGGAATAACTTCTAGTTCCTTTCATTTGATTTTTTACAATGGATTAAAAAACAAATTCATGTCAGGGTTTTCGCAATAATAAATTCTGCAAGTTTCACGTGCAGTATTGAAATCATTTTTATATATATTTAAATAGTAGATTTATATTTGTATGTAGATATATAAGAAAAATCTAAAATAGTCTATTACTTTTTTGTTATTTTAGCTTACATGATCTTAAAACTACTTAATATTTAATTTTTTATTGGTTTAAATTAACGTTTAAATCATGGCTTAAACTTGACATTTTGTTTTAACAACTTATTTTGTTTTATAACAATACTAAAAGTGGAATTAAAGTTCATGTTTTTTTAAATTAATTAATCGGTTTAAGTGAATCAATTGAAAAAGTATAAATTTTAGCTAGTTATAGTTTCTGATTTTTTTTATTGATACAACAGAAGAGAAACAAAACTACTACTTGATGAGAAACAATAATGACATTCAATCCAAATTTTTTCTGGTGTTTTCTGAATTTTCATCTGATTTTCGATATTTTATTTCGATATCTTAAAGCGTCTGTAGGTGTAATTTCAAGCGATTCTTAAATATGAATTAGACATCCATCTTAATAATTGCTACTTTTAAGAACTAGGACAGGTTAGGTTCTTAAGTTTTTGTTCCCTATTGTTTGTTAAGGAAGGAAAAGAAAAAATAGAAAAAAAAATCGTTTGTTCAATTTTTATAAATTCTGATCTCTAATCTTTTAAATGATTAGCTTAGCTGGAGGCAAATATAAATATCTGCAATCAAGTTTCATGAAAATAGGTAATTCAATTGTTATCATTATTCATTACTATTTTTATTATCAATATCATGATCATGATCATTATCATTATTACCATTATTTATAAAGTTTTTGATTGTTCTTATGATAATAGTTATTATTTTTATCATGATTATCATTATTAAGATTAGCATTATTGTATTTATCATTATTATAATTTTCATTATTACTATTAATACATATCTGTATAATTATTATCTTTATTATCATTAATACTATTATTATTACTATCATTATCATTCCTCGGGTAAAGCCAGGGACTTCAGATATTTATTATTGTTATCTTTATAATTATTATCACTATTATTATTATTATTATTATCATTATTACAGTGAACCAGAAAACAAACAGTTTTACTAGACACTTATTAAATCACTAATTAAGTGAAATGGGTCTGCTTACACTGTACAATTACTGCGTACCATGCTTATTGGAACATTTAAAGTTATATCTTCAGACTGAAAGTCGTCTTCACATTGCAGAGTTTTCTGGTTATCACTGTATTATTTTTATTATTATTATTATTCCTTCAGGGGACAAAATGCATAAATATGGAATAAAGTTCTTCAATGCTGTTGATCCAAAAAACCACAAGGAAACATGTTTTAACATTTTTAAATTTCTATTTTTATTTAACTTTTTCTTAAATTTATTCTGAATATAGAAAATATACTAGTTTTTCTAGTTTAAAAATTGTTTAATTTTGATATTTTTATTAATAGCCTTAGCTAGGGCGCTTTGCGCCCATCTTCTAAATTAATTGTGAACATGTTCTCTTTGTGTACATCGTAAAACAAAATAAAAAAAATTCGCGGATTTTCACAAAAAAAAATTCGTGGATTTTCAAAATTTTCAAAAATTTAATGAAGATCGATTTTTGATGGAGACAAATATTTGAAATTTTGATCATTCATAAACCTTCCCTGGGTCCCTAGATGTCCCACAAAAAATTTGGGCCCGATCGGTTCAGCCGTTTTGGCGTTTATTGGATACAAACAAACAGACAAACAAACAGGCAGACAAGCCAAATTTATAAATAGAAATGAAGATCGAATTTTTATGGAGACAAATATTTGAAATTTTTGATCATTCATAAACCTTCCCTGTGGTCACGTGATGTCCCACAAAAAATTTTGGGCCAGATCGGTTCAACCGTTTTGACGTTTATTGGATACAAACAAACAGACAAACAAACAGACAGACAAGCCAAATTTATAAATAGATTGTTCTCCTTCACAATAAAATGCGCAAGTTGCACTTTAATTGTAAAAAGTAATCAATTCTTAAAACTATTAACATAGAGATATGATTCATACTTCATACTTTTGAATCGGACATACCATTCGCCAAATGGAAGGTCTTTAGTCACGATTGGAAAACAATTTTTGTGTTCATTCTATTTATACTTTTTCATAAAACATCAAAATATATTTTATTATTTAACATGAAAATCTATATTTTTATATTAAACATGAAAATCTATATTTTTATATTAAACATGAAAATCTATATTTTTATATTAAACATGAAAATCTATATTTTTATATTAAACATCAAACGCTATATTTTTATATGAATGCCCAATTTGTTTTTTCCAATTAAAACCTTTTTCAACAAAAAAGCTAATGTTTCGTTTCGATACAAATTAATGTAAATTTTTGTATATTTTTCGTCCAAAAGATTTTGATTTTAAAGTTTCTACTTGTTTCAACATTTCTTTAAATTATTTGCCATCAGTAGCATTCTTTTCAAAAATGACTTGCTCATTTCTATGGTTCAGAATCCATAAAAAGAGTTATTAAAATTAGGTACTTTTTAAGCCATGAATTTATTGACCAGATTAAGAGGATTCAAGGGTAAATCAGAAATGCCACTCTTTTAAATGGAGGGTCACTTGAAATTGCAAAAACAATCGGCCCAAATTTTCTAAGCATTTTTGAGGTAATCCATGGGTGGGTCCGGGGGGTAACATAGGCTAAGGAAATCTAAACTTTTTTTCTTCCAATTATAAATTACTTTATTCAGGTATTTTTTTTTCATTGGCAACTAGTCTTATTTGTGAGCTTATGAAGCTCCAGAAATCCCTATACCTAATATCAAGTTTCTTTCTTGTTGTTCTTTCTATAGTTGTTTTTCTTATATGCTAATTGCAATGTTTAAAAAAAAAAATAAACATGCATTGCCCCCTCCCCCACAAACTCAAAACTCGGATTTTCGTATCTGCATCGGTCAACCTATTCTCCTAACCCCTTTCCCACCCCCCCAACCCTTAATTCAATGAACATTTCTTTCAGTTTTGACAATACCACCATTCTTTAAGGTTGACCATAATTCTTACGCTTTTCATTTTTTTATTCCACACTTCAAAAAAAAACCCCTCCCCTAATTTGCTTACTTTTTTATAAATTTCTAGAAAGTTATTTGTTACATTATCCTTATTTTTAATTTGTAATAATTTTGGTGATTTTCTGTAGAACTGAAGAGGATATAAAATATATCGAAATTAATTTCCAAACCCGAGTTTTTCTACCTGTGAGAGTAAAACCTTTTTTTGCCAGTTTGGATTAAACATATTGACTATCAGGAATACATACAGTACTATGGTAGAATTCTAATGGTGAAACCGAACCACCTCAGAACTCATCTTGAAAACAAAATTCAAGTATTTTGTGGAAAAGGGAAAACGGAAAAAGATCTTGAAATATGGATAAAGAAAACATACAAGGTAACACAAAATTGTAAACCCTATCCTGATTGGACTATCATTTTGTAAACCCTATCCTGATTGGACTATCATTTTGTAAACCCTATCCTGATTGGACTATCATTTTGCCATGATTTTACCTTTTCAAAAAACTTGTTTTGTTACGTGCGTAAAAGCTTGAATGGTATATATTGAGTTCAAATCAGTATAAATTCAACAGTGTAACTAACAACTGTTTCAAAATATGGATATGTTCTAAAATAAATGAACAGTCATCAAAATATTATCATGTTTCGATATTTTACAATGCCCATTTTTAATAAACTATAGGGTTTCAAAAAAAACTTTAAGTTCATTAAGTTTTAAAACTTAATGAAAATCAAATTCTCTTCGAGGCAAAATTTTAAAATTTTGATCATCCATAAACCTTTCCTGGGATCTTGAGGTCATGTAAGTACCCACACAAAATTTGGACTGGATCGGTTCAGCCGTTTTGACGTTTATTGGACACTAGCAGACAGTCTGACAGACAAGCAAAGTATACAAATAAATGTGGCGTTGGGATATTTCATAGAAAGACATTTCATAGAAAGACATTTCATAAAAAGATATTTCAAAAAGACATTTCATAGAAAGACATTTCATAGAAAGACATTTAACATAGAAAGACATTTCATAAAAAGACATTTCATAAAAAGATATTTCATTGAAAGACATTTCATACAAAGACATTTTATAGAAAGACATTTCATAGATAACAATATCATAGATAGGACATTTCATAGATAAAATATTTCATAGACAAAGAAGATTTTCCATAGACAGAGGAGATTTTTTTAAATGATATTTTACCATGTCTATGAAAAATCTTCCTTGGCTATGAAATGTCTTATCCTCGGTAAGTCTTTTGACGTAGGCCATGTCTTCCTTCTACCGAGTCAGAGAACCAGATGAGAAGTTGCAGTTTTTCCAATTTTATTTTGCGGATTTTAAAAAAATTACTTAAGCATTTTCATTCAAGAAAGCACTTTTTGTGAAAAACTTTAAAACGGACAGAAAAATGAAAAATGATGAAAAAGTTGAATTTTAAGTACTTAAAAAAAAATAAAGTACTCTTCATATGTAATGTTTTTTATATGTTTTGTTGTGTAGCAACTAGCAATGTATTGTATATGGGGAGCACTGTATTTACATTTTCCCTTGTCTATTAAAAATCTAAGAAAAAAAAATCTTCTCTGTCTTTGAATAATCTTCTCTATCTATGAAATGTTTTTCTATAAAATGTCTTTCTATGAAAAGTTCCAACCCAATAAATGTTTGCTATAGTTTTTGTTTGTTCCACTTGGCTTGGATCGAAAATTAGGCTTATCTAAGAAATGGGTAAAATCGCAGTTTGGAACTAATCCCCCCTGGAATTTACATTTTCATTAGTTTACCCTAATGATTTTTTTATTATTATTTTTTAGGGATATGTTGGAGAAAGAACAAGTTTAAATAAACGTCTTTTTGATAAGGAAAAACAATTTTACAGATTTTTTTTTCTTATTCGTTAACTCAAGTAAAAAAAAATCGAAAAAATTTTTCATTAAAGTTTAGTACTGCATACGGCATACGGTTTAGCATTACTTAAAAAGTTTGAATCTGAAAAAGTTTTTTTTTGGTAAAAATCTGCAATTTAGTTGAAAAAAATCAAGTAAATGTTTTATATCTATGACAGAACTACACAGTTGTAATATACTCTTCCCTTGGTTTAGATTCACGAAGCCAGATAAAAAATATTCAGGAATAAGATTTATGAATAGCAAGAGCCAGCTGAACTAACTAGACTTAAAGGGATTGTAAGCGTAATTTAAAGTTACCTTCCGTTTACAGCAAGGCATGTCCGATTCACGACGATACCCTTTAAACCTTTGTACGGACAATAATGTTACAGGTACCATCATTTTTGTAACGAAAGATTGAGTGCCTGGAGACTAGAGGTTTCCAGTGTTCACTAGCTGTAAAGTGTACAGTTACACTCTCGCGGTTTCAATTGGAACATTCCCACTTTATAAATAAAAATATCAACAAAATCCTTGATAAAACAAAGGTTTAAAGTTTAAAGTTTAATATTGTTGTAAATCAGACATGACACTTTATAAATGGAAGGTCACTTGAATTTACGCTTACAGTCATTTTAATTGATCTGCAATTATATTAGAGGTCCCATTGTTAAAATTCAGATCTTTTGGCCCCATTTTCTCCAGTGGTATGAAGATCTTTCGTATTTGCTCCTTTCCATTTTTGTTGGACAAAGAGTGGTTTATGTAAGGTAATTACTATCCATTATCCACTATTTATTAAATCTGGATCTAGTATATAATGAATCGCGCTGTCAGCTTAGTAATGGAATTGGAGAACAATATTACGGAAAAGGTAACATGCACATTTAATAAAGTCTGGTTTAAAATAAGGGTATATAAGAAATGACTCAGTAAAATTTTGGATCGTTCTTTATATATTGTAAGGATTGTAATAAGCGACACTGAACAAGAAGGAACAAGAAGTTCAAATTCATGCAACATTTCTGGTGAGACTATCAGATCTCCTGGTCGCTGTAGTTTTGATAATGCGCATGTAAAACCTTTGTGGACCATGAAAGAGTCTCCTCTGCCACCATCGAAGATAAATTGAAAAATCTACAGAACTCGACACCCCCCGGCCCCCACCCCTAAACTGGAAACGAAACTTGTACAGTGTACACTGTACAGTTGGAGCCTGTCACACCTCCAAGTGTACACAAATATACCTGTACACTCACTTTATTATCAGTCTACTTGAAACCCAGAATCAAAAAAGAACCTAAATCAAGGATATGGTCCCAGAAGAGGAGTGAAGTCTAAGATGTTCTCTCTCAGTTCTTGGAAGATGGATTCAGCTAAAGAACACCGAGAGATTATGCAATAAAAGTGTTTTGTTTCCAAACTTTTAATTCAATTATGTTATTTCAATGTACTAAACATTCTTTTGTTTAGATTGAACCTGACTAGAATAAATTAAACAATCATAGACATCTGCGCACAATTTTTGTATAAAAAATCTCGTCGAAAAATGGTTTGAAATCATCCTGTTTTAAAGCTTAACCAGATTTTATAGCGCTCAAGTATGCAAATTTATGCAAATACTTTTTTAGAGCGAAGAGAATGGGATCCATATTGATTTCGGCAAGATGGAAAGTTTAGAGTCAAACACAAGTAAGTTTGAATATACATTTTATCATTTTTTTAATTACAAGCTCATCGTGTGTTAAAGCACTGACATTGTATAGGAATGATTTTAAAAGTACAATAGTTACTATCTGAAGTGACTGACGTTGCCCTTTAAATAAAAAAAAAATTTGAATGAATTAATAAAAAAAAAATTTGTTTAGCCTATTTTACCCCAGGGTAGCCATGGGTTCCTTCAGTTTGGCCAGTTAAAGCTAACATAATAAAGGTCTTTGAACATTATTATAAAGATAGATAGATATATGTATTTTAGCTTTTTTATTTAAAAAACAAATTAATGAACCAACAACATTCAAAGTTGTAAATTTCAAATATGGTACATTTCAGAAAATGGAAAATCTGATGACGTTATGGAAAATCTGATAGCTGATAAGTTTGATGGTATCACCATTTTGGCTGATAAACGAGATAAAGCAACAAAATTAACTGATCAACTAGATTTAGCAATATGCGAAAAAGAAGATTATAGTCGTGAACTTAAACTTTGCGGATATAGAGCAAATGAAGTCAGCAGTAACGCTATTCTAGGTAGAAAAAAATTTATTAAAATTTTTGTTGAAAAAAACAGTTTTTTTCATTTTATTTTTCGCAGTCTGTGCTCTGGATCTTGAAGGAAACTATTTTCCTCTTCGCGGAACTTTTTCACGGCTTTCTCTTCAAAACTTTATTGGTAAATGCATGGTTATTCATCATTTATTCTTGACAGAAATCCAAGAATTTGTTTTTGATTCGTTCTCGAGCATCTGGGTTGTTTAAACAAATATCTGGGTTGTTTAAACAAACATCTGGGATGTTTAAACAAACATCTGGGATGTTTAAACTAACATCTGCAGATGTTTAAACAAACATCTGGGTTGCATAAACAAACATCTGGGATGTTTAAACAAACATCTGGGATGTTTAAAAAAACATCTGGGTTGCACAAACAAACATCTTGGTTGTTTAAACAAACATCTGGGATGTTTAAACAAACATCTGGGATGTTTAAACAAACATCTGGGATGTTTAAACAAACATCTGGGTTGTTTCAACAAACATCTGGATTGTTTAAACAAACATCTGGGTTGTTTCAACGAACATCTGGGTTGTTTCATCAAACATCTGGGATGTTTAAACAAACATCTGGGATGTTTAAACAAACATCTGGGTTGTTTAAACAAACATCTGGAGTATCAAAAAAAATTCTGGGTTGTTCAAAAATACATCTCGGATTTATATCGTTTTTAAGAACTTTGGTTGGTCGGCATTTATATCAATACAATGAAAACCACTTTTTGTTAATAATGCTTTTAATCCCTGCGAACACGCGTTTTTCAAATTTTAAGTTTACCATGTAAACAAAGAGAAGCTGTTAATTGACAACTTCTCTTTGTTTCCATTTTTATGTGTATCCATGCTGTTTGAAAGCCTAGGAAAAATAGAAACACTCCCGGAATATCGAGTTCCCCAAAAAAATGTCCGCCAATTTTGTCCAGGTTTTTGCCAGCTATAGCGAACATATTTATATTAATTTTAGCGAAGAACTCTGTCATACAGGTGATTTTTTTTCCAGGAGACCTTCTTTCCTCTCAAGTGCTTCCTTAACTAAAGGAAGGGGAACCTGATGGAGTTCCATTGGGTCGCTTTCTTCATCAGGTTCATCTTGATCAACTGTTTCTTTATGATTACAGTTTCCATCGGAATTACAAATAACGGTTTTTATATATTTAGAAAAGTTTCTGCAAAACCCTTCAAGTGATTTTTCGGAAAGTTTCTAATCATCATTCTTCAGGGTGTTCAAACAAACATAGCTAGCGATTCAGTGATGATGTCGTCTTTGATAAGAATTTTTTTTCTAAACATTACTAGAATATACAAGAACCTTATTAACTGTTTTGATATTTATTTTTCCCTATTTACAAAAAAAACAGTACCTGTACAATCAAGTATCGTTTAATGAAAAAAAATCCTCTTACCATATACACTATACACTAAATAAAAAATAACTATTGTTATTATTGTAAAATCCTATTCAAATATAAGATAACAGTTCTTTAATATGATCCAAAAATGTCAAAAAAATAAGTGCAACAGTTGTAGTTGTTTTATTATTTGTATTTTGCGGATTTTTTTGTTCAAATTTGCGATTTTTCAAAATAATGAATACAGGGGAAATTGGTTTCAAAGCTAACACTTGGCCCATTACTAACAATGAGTGTAAGGAATGATTTTTGTCTTCATTTTCGAACATATTCCTATTTGGAAAAAATTACCGCAATTCAGTTCATTTCGCGTTATTGAAACATATCCGGGTTTGGGACAACTATCATATCAATGTCGATTTTAAAGCCACACTAACGTAACAAACAACTGATTTTTTTTTATAATGTAAAATAAAAAACAAAATATAAAAAAAGCATATTGTTCTTTTGTTATTTAAAAAACATTACGGCATTGAGTAATCAAAGTATTATAACTATTTATAACACTTTTATTTTGGTTTTATATAAAATGCGCTTAAAACGCCTTTCTTCCGTTAGGTGTCTGCCGAGCGGGGGAAGGCAGGCGGCCATGAGCCACCACTATTTCCCCTTCCGTACCACATATTAGCTTTTTTCTCTTCCGGAAGCCATGAGCCACCACTATTTCCTCTTCCGTACCACCACATTTGACTCTTCCGGGCAAAACTACTTTTTTTAATGGTATATTTAGGGCCATTACAGTGTGATTTTAAAAAATCCAGCCGTGTCACGCAATACATATATATTTAGATCTCAATATTTCAGAGTTAAGATGTAATAAGGATGATTTCTCTTAATGTAAACTGTAAAACTTTTTTTTTGCAAATCTAAATTATGATTTTCACAAAAAATGGCTTATTTTTAAAAGCAATATGAATATTAAAAATGACGCACCATAAAATAAACGTAGGTTTTGAAGGGAGCCCTTGTGTGAAAATGTGCAATGTGTTAAAAAAAAATTGCAAAAAAACCCGTTTTTTTACAAAATATGTAACGCCTAAGTAATGACAGTAAATATTGCGATTTTTATAATATTTTCTTTTTCTTCAGACTAACATGAACAAATTGTCTCAGCTCCCTCAATACGAAAATTGACTTAGTCTACTTGGTAAAATCTAAATTAAACTACCTCTTTTTTTATAATTTCAAACAACTTCTTTAAATGTCGTCTTTTAAATGTGATAAAGAGACTGGTTGATGAGGTTGAGAGATGAGATGAGTTGCTTAATGAGTGATTTTTCTTTGTTTCTATTATGTTTCTCACATACAGGGTTACCCACAAAGGATGAGACTGTCAAGACGACATTTAACTCTAAATCACGATTCCAAGGTTAAATCAAATCTTCTACCTTGAATACAATCTTTTAATAGCAATTATATTTCTATCAGGCGAGGGGAGGAAGGCCAACCACATCAATCTCTAGTCTGAACCACATTCTCATCATTTTCTCGTCCGAACCACATCAAAATCCTCGTCCTTTCAATATTATTTTTTTTAAGTGTCCGATCCTTGAAAATAAATACATTTTTTAAAAATATGGCGATGTTAGGGCATAGATGAAATATAAAATTTTCCCAATTAAATTTTAGATTTATGTAAAAATAAAAATGCTCCAGAAACGATGTTCTACAAAAAAGTGTCTGTAAGGAGCCCTTTCTTTAGCGGAAAATGCCGCAAAACATTCTCAAACTCGATGTAAACAACTTTTTGTAATATTCCAGCTGAATTTGGGTTAGAGATATGACTTACAATTTTTATTTGATTAAATACGGTTTGAATTCATAGGGTTGTGACCAAGCAAATGATTTGAATAATATAAATTGAACATCATTTTGCCTATAATTTTAAGCATGCGGCAGGCAGTAGTGATCTCTTAGAGGGGACAACAAATCTACCTTATTTGTAAATAAATCAGAAATCAATGATTATTTTGTATGGGTTGAAATGGAAAGATTAAAGACCATGTTCACGCGAATTCTTTGGTATAAATTTTTATTTGTGAAAGTTATCCATTTTGGAGGCAGAAGAGATTCAATNAAAATTTGATATTTCATCTATGCCCTAACGTCGCCATATTTAAAAAAAATGTATTTATTTTCAAGGATCGGACACTTAAAAAAAATAATATTGAAAGGACGAGGATTTTGATGTGGTTCGCACGAGAAAATGATGAGAATGTGGTTCGGACTAGAGATTGATGTGGTTGGCCTTCCTCCCCTCATTAGGCAAAGAAAGAAAGATGTTTACTATTGCAGAGAATAATAAATATAACTTCTCTGCAGTAGTCTCTGAAGTCTCATTCTTTGTGGGTAACCCTGAATGTCTGAACCTAACAATATATTTAAACCTATTAAATTTTGTTTTCATATAAAAAAGTTATGAGGAACGAAATTTCAATTAAATTGTAATGTGGGTGAGTGAGTGAGTGAGTGAGTGATTGGATGAGGTGAGTGAATGAGTTATGAGGTGATTGGATGATGAGGGAGTTGGTTAATGAGTGATTTTAAGATGGATTTAGTATAATGAGACAGTAATTGAATAATATTGTGATATTTTAAGATGCAATACTCAGTCAAAGGGGATGGTGGAGATGGCACATTTGATGTAGGGGGGGTGGGGCCTGCCTTCATTTTTGGTTCAAATCTTCCAATTTTTTGGCTACACGCCTAATTAGTGATCGAAATTACTAAAATAAAATCAAATTGAATTTTAATGACCTCTAATGACCTCTTATGACCTCCACAAATAGAAAATATTTTAACTATGGCTTTATGCATATCAATTAAAATCTAGGAACCCCAGGAATACAGTAGCAGCAACAAATCCAGTGTTTTACCTTCTAATGATCTCTAATGACCTCAAATGACCTCTAATGACCTCCACAAATAGAAAATATTTCAACTATGGCTTTTATGCATATCAAACGAAAGCTAGGAACCCAGGGAATATAGTAGCAGCAACAAATCCATTGTTTGACCTTCTAATGACATCTAACGACCTCTTATGACCTAAATGACCTACAAAAAGGGTAACACTTTTTACACAAAAACAATTTTGTATCAATAAAAATGTGATTAAGTACCCCCAAAAAAAGCAAATTCTTTAGTTTGCAACATTAAAATAAATAAATCAAATTGTGTCACAATAATTAAAACACTAGTGACACATGTTTCAAATAAACGTTTTATTGATTAAAGCAATCCAAATAGATTAATATGATGACAACATGCACTACTGTATTGTCTGGGTTCCTAGCTTTTGATTGATATACATTAATCCTTATTTAAAACATTTTCAATTTGGAGGTCATTACAGGTCGTTAGAGGTCATTAGAAAGTCAAACATTGGATTTGTTGCTGCCACTCGATTCTTTGTGGTTTACTAATGTTTGTTTGACATGCCTAAAGCCATATTTAAATATTTTCATGGAGGTTATTATAGGTCTACACACAAAATATTAATCTTAAGTAGAATTGAAAAAATGGTTTGAGTTGTGCTTTTTTGCGTGACACAGCTGGATTTTTTAAAATCACACTTTGAAGGCCCTAAATATACCATTTAAAAAAGTAGTTTTGCCCGGAAGAGTCAAATGTGGTGGTATTGAAGAGGAAATAGTGGTGGCTCATGGCCGCCTGCCTTCCCCCGCTCCTCTGCCATGTGTAAGCATTCAAAGCATCGAGAGCAGAGACATCTGGCGGCCAACTATTTCGGCGTTTTAAGTGCATTAATGTATACAAAACTAATAAAGAATATTATGAAATATTACAATATACGAATAAGCCGAAAAATAATCGATGACCAGGTCGTAACATCTAAATGATTTGTTTGAAATTAAATTGATTTGTTTACAATCCGAGTTGAATATTGCAACTTTCAGTATGAGTCACCTTTAACAATTTTCTCCTTATAGACGCACAGATAGAAGTAAGATTAGTAACGATCAAAAGCGATTATTTTTCGCCGTAAGTCTATGCCCTCTTTCATTTTTCGCGAACACTCCCTTTGATTTTTAACTTTCCCAAAACCTTTGTTGCAATATTGCAAGTTGCCACAAAAATATTCGGCCGATCAGTTTAGCCGTTTTACTTTTATTAGATACAGACAAAGTTTACAGCAAAGTTTATGTATTAATGTATTTTAGCTTTTATCGATCTGTTGCTCGTAAAGTTGGTCATTTAAAAAAAAATAATTTTACGCGAATGCCGTGTTGAATGATAGGATCCGGATTCAGATCTGGATCCATAGTGAACGAAAAATCCCTACATCTTGAAATGATGACATCTAGTGTTCTATCTGTATTGTTGTAAATCTATAAATAATTAACTAAATTATTTAGTAAAGAAAGAATTAAGTTTGCGGTTACATTCATTACTTCTTTCTTTATTTGCCAAATCATTAATTAAGCCATTAAACGTCTGCATTCAAGACAGAATGCTTGATTTAAGCTTGAGATTGTCAATTTTTTTAGAGTTTCAAGTCGTCTTTACAGTCTCATCCTTTGCGGGTAACCCTTATCATCCTTTGTAAATAATTTTGTTGATATATCTTTGGCACTTTTCGGTCAAACCAACCAAAACATTTCTTCTAATATTGTTTCTAAATAATAAAACATAACTATTTTAAGATTTCCAGTGCAAAGAGAGAAAGAACCTAGAAAAACAATGAATGGCTTGAAGATTAACAGTGAATGATTTATTAATGTTAAAACCAATATTTTATATCTACTTAGTAAATAAATAGTATCATATAACACACAAATATTGTTAAGCCCTTGACCTGAAGAAGTCATTGAAAGTTATAAATGAACAGTTTCATATAATGCACAAATATTGTTAAGCCCTTGAGCCGGAGAAGTAAGATATAAGATCTGTAAAATATTAAAAATGTGTCACTTGATCAGAAGATGTCAGTCCTTCCCCTCCTCCTTCTTATTCTTCAAGTTCATACAATCTTCACCTTTAACTTGTAAGTTTAAGAAAAGACTAATGAAGGTGTTCAGAAATTTTTTGCGCTTTTGCGACAATTTTTATTTTGTTGTACTTTATCTGCTAGAAATAAGTTCGATGTACGCTTTAAATATAGTTTAGAAAGTGGAGTGATGTTTTTTAGGTAATTGGGAATACATCTATAGAGTTTCTCTTATTGTGTGATTTATAAATGTTAAATATCCAATTTTAATTTCAGAAATGTATTAGTAACATTAACAAATTAATAATTTCTCTTACTTTTCTCAGTACAGTGTTTTTACCCCTTTTTAAACTTATTCATAAATAGTTTTTGGGTCATCTTACATCTTACAGATTAATCTCTCTGCCTTATTCCAAACCGGTGTCCTTTCTGGAGCGGACTCTTGCATGGGGCGGACTTTACCCCTTTAAAGTTTTAACCATTTCAACACTATTTTAGAAATATGAGCAATGTTAAAACATTAAAAATTATTAGTTGACATACAGGGTGTCCCACGAAACATGACACTAGCAAGACGAATTGAAAGTCGTCTTTCAACTTTGAAGTTATTGGTGACATTCAGTCTTCAACCTTCTTTTACATGCATGATTCCTGAAACAATAACCACAAAATTCGCCTAGTCCTGCCGTTTCCAAAATGTGGTCTGCATTTTTTGTGCATTCAATATTACCGGAGATATTAAGAATTTCGTACAGATTTAATTTTTATTGAATAAAACCAAAATTGTCCAAATCTGAAGGAAATTCATAATATCTCCGGAAATATTGAAAGCACAAAAAAGGCAGACCACAATTTGGAAATGCCAAGACAAGGGGTATTTTGTGATTATTAATTCTAGAATTTTCCTCCTAAAAAAGGTTTACGAAAAAATGCCGCAAATTATTTCAAAGTTCTAAGACGACCTTCAACATCGTCTAGCTATTGTCATGTTTCGTGGGACACCCTGTATAATAAGTACGCATTTAGTTCTTAAATGTATTTTAAAGGGGGTTAAGGCAAAAAAAATTTTTTTTTTCAAATCAAAATAAAATAATATATTTCGAAATGTCATAACCTTGCTTTTAATGCCTAACATTGCGATGAAATGGTTGAAATTTTAGGGGGAGTCCGCCCCATGCAAAACTCCGCACCATGCATGAGACCGTATTCAGATGATATACTGTACAAAAAGCATCAAGGACTCAGTTGTTTAGATTTAGATTTGATAATATGTCCAAAAATCAATATTAAATATGCTAATTGAAATATGAAAAAAAAATTTAGTTTTGGAAACTACAGATGGAAGAAGGATCCAGAATCAATAATCGGAGAACAGGTCTGGAAAATAATTTTTTATTACTCCCATACTCCTATAACCCCCCCTCCCCTAAATACGCCCTTGTTTGACATCCATTGAAGAAAATCAATTATCTTAAATGCCTATACTTCTAGGAAACTGCATTCTTAAATACCTATACTTCTAGGGAACTGCATTCTTAAATGCCTATACTTTTAAAGAACTGCATTCTTAAATGCCTATACTTGTAGAGAACTGCATTCTTAACTGCCTATACTTCTAGGGAACTGCATTCTTAAATGCCTATACTTTTAGGGAACTGCATTCTTAAATGCCTAAACTTTTAAAGAACTGCATTCTTAAATGCCTATACTTTTAGAGAACTGCATTCTTAACTGCCTATACTTCTAGGGAACTGCATTCTTAAATGCCTATACCTCTAGGGAACTGCATTCTTAAACGCCTATATTTCTAGGGAACTGCATTCTTAAATGCCTATACTTCTAGGGAACTGCATTCTTAAATGACTATATTTCTAGGGAACTGCATTCTTAAATGCCTGTATTTCTAGGGAACTGCATTCTTAAATGCCAATTTTTCTAGGGAACTGCATTCTTAAACGCCTATACTTCTAGGGAACTGCATTCTTAAATGCCTATACTTCTAGGGGAACTGCATTCTTAAATGCCTATACTTCTAGGGAACTGCATTCTTAAATGACTATATTTCTAGGGAACTGCATTCTTAAATGCCTATATTTCTAGGGAACTGCATTCTTAAATGCCTATATTTCTAGGGAACTGCATTCTTAAATGCCTATACTTCTAGGGAACTGCATTATTAAATGCCTATATTTCTAGGGAACTGCATACTAAAATGCCTATACTTCTAGGGTACTGAATTCTAAAATGCCTATACTTTAAAGGAACTGCATTCTTAACTGCCTATATTTCAAGGGAACTGCATTCTTAAATGCCTATACTTCTAGGGAACTGCATTCTTAACTGCCTATATTTCTAGGGAACTGCATTCTTAAATGTCTATACTTCTAGGAAACTGCATTCTTAAACGCCTATATTTCTAGGGAACTGCATTCTTAAATGCCTATACTTCTAGGGAACTGCATTCTTAAATGACTATATTTCTAGGGAACTGCATTCTTAAATGCCTATATTTCTAGGGAACTGCATTATTAAATGCCTATATTTCTAGGGAACTGCATTCTTAAATGTCTATACTTCTAGGGTATTGCATTCTCAAATGCTTATACTTCTAGGGAACTGCATTCTTAAACGCCTATATTTCTAGGGAACTGCATTCTTAAATGCCTATAATTCTAGGGAACTGCATTCTTAAATGCATATACTTCTTCTAGGGAACTGATTCTTAAATGCCTATAATTCTAGGGAACTGCATTCTTAAATGCCTATATTTCTAGGGAACTGCATTCTTAAATGCCTATACTTCTAGGGAACTGCATTCTTAAATGCCTATACTTCTAGGGAACTGCATTCTTAAATATCCGCGAATTATTTTTGTTTTGTTTTACGATGTACACAAAGAGAACATGTTCACAATTAATTTAGGAGATGGGCGCGAAGCGCCCTCTAAGGCTAGTTAACAATATTTACCTGCAGAATTTGAGAATTTTTAAAGATTGTGACTTTGTATAAACGAATGTTAATCCTCGGATTTGTATCATAATAATCTCTATATTTTTATTTAGGGAAGTGTAACCTCAGAATATTGTCGAAAGTTTATCTATTCTCCGATCTGCCGTGGAACTACTTCAAAGAAATCAGATGGGTGAGCAAACTTTCAGCATTTCTAGCAATCATTTTGCAAGCAATGATATCTGCAGCTCACGGCTTAATTACCAATGATTATGGAAAGTGATAGACGACTTTAAAACCGTTAGAGAAAGGACATAGTTTATACAACCATAAATCTTCGAAACCTGACCTGTGCATAGATTAAAGATGATTCTAGAGTCGTCGCTCAATTTCCATGTTTTTTAAACACCCAGTAAATAATGTTTATTTAGTGAAGTGCCAATCAATGAAGGTTCTGAGGATATGATGAATTTGACAAATCTGTATTCTCTGCCACATATTGGGGAAGATCAACGCCATCTGCTTGAACGATATGTTCAAATCACGCGTCTGATGCGAATGCTGAAAGATCAAAATTCGACCAAAAAATCTTTTTCTCGAATTCTTCGATTTTAGATAAATTGGATCCTTAATATTAGAGGGACCAGCAAAGAGGCAAACCAGTAATTTTAAATTTATCAAATGACCGCTTAGTTAAATTTTTATCCTCCGGAATTCATGGCTAAATTAAAAGTTGTTACTATTTCAAGTTTTGTGGATTTTATATCCGCAAAATCTTAATTAAGAGGCTGAAATTCTGTATTTATAAATTTAAGATATTGTAAACTACAACATAAACCCTTAAAATATATTATGCTCAGAATTATGGCGATAGTCAATTCCTATGTAAATAAAACAATTCTATAAGAACAATTTCATTTATGAAACTTTTTAATTGGAGGTCGTCTTCTTCAGCTAATTGGCACTGCAAGTTTTGACCTTTGTCTTTTTCTTAGTTCTGTGATTTCGCAGTACACAAGCCAAATGCTTCCAATGATTACGGAGATTGGAGGTCGTCTTTGTTTGCTATCGGGCACTGTAAGTTTGACCTATATATACTGTTTTTCTTAAATCTGTTTTTTCACAATAAACAAGCAATATATGCTTCCAATATTTACGGCATCAATAGTCATTTCTACTGTCAAATTTATTGCTATAAACAATCTCTTTTGAGATACTTTTTTATTGGAGGTCGTCTTCTTAAGCTAACTGGCACTGCAATTTTTGACTCAATGGGACTGTAAAGGAAAAATGAAAGGATGTATAGGCTGAAACCTAGGTATCTTAGGAGTTGATCGAGACCCATGAGAGTTATATCTTGATGTTCTTGCCTCGAGTAATTGATAACAAAACTGTGTCAAATTTATACAGAAGTCGGTATACACCAAATTTTGTATAAAACTAGTAGGTTTAAACAATGATATTCAGCAAATACGCAACCAATAATCAAATTTGTAACCAATTTACAACTTTAAAAAATATACTTCAATTTTAAACTTGAATCATAACATTTATGAATTTAGTCTATTTTTGAAGATTTTGTGTTTTCATCTAAAGGAACCTTGAATATCCCTGAATACAGATGTCTGCGCCTGCTGACTGGTCGTGTACAGAACTTGTACACTATAGAACCTGCTGTGGAAAATATCGCATATTATAGGTTTCAATTGATCTGCTTTGAACTGAATATTTCCTTTCTTGTGTAAGAATTTTGACCCCCCGTAATTCCTGAAGTGTATTGTGTTCGTGTACTGATGTAAAAGTCCATATAGAAAAATAAATCATGTCATGCCACAAGAAAGTTAAACTGCCTTTTTAAATAAGAAATACTAAAGAAGAAGTCTGTTTTTCAACGGCAGAAGTACAGTGTCTTTATTGCACCTTTTAATTGTGGCTTTATCTGCGAGCATCTTCTCTTTGTACAGTAATAAAAAAAAAGTTCGCGGATTTCATAATATCTTTTCACGCATTTTCAAAATTTTTACCATTCATAAACCTTCCCTGGAGTCACGTGAGGCCCCACACAAAATTTAGGCCCGATTGGTTCAGCAGTTTTGACGTTTATTGTGCACAAACAGACAGACATGACAAGTTAAATTTATGTATAGAAAGCCAGGTAAAAACCTCCTGACGAAATGATAAGGATGAGATTTAAATTTGTTTTCAGCATAAATAAACTTTTATTTAAAACAATATTTTCTAAACACACATATTACATTTACTATATTATATATTTTAGTATATTCTATTTTATGATATCGTATCTACAGTGGTAACCAGCAAAAAGTGGAATATTTGTCGTCTTTGTTCTTAGTTTGAATCAAGAAATAGTATTGTTAATTGTAGCAAATTACCCAAATTCATTTCTTTTTGCTGTTTTCTGGTTCTCACTGTACATCAAATCATATTGCTCTTTTGTCAGATTATAGTATTAAAACCAGCGGGGGCTCTCTCCCAGTCGATAATGTTTGGTCACAAAACTGAAATAAAAAACTGTCAAGAAATCAAGTTTTGCAAGGCATAAAAACACTCATCGTGCAACTTTCTAAAGTTTTGGTGGAGTGACCCTTCATGCAAGGATGGCAATGTCAGATTCACAACGGTACCTTAAAAAAGCTTTATCAAGTATGAATTAGATATCCATGTTTATAATTTTAAATACGGATTGTTTTCAATTGAGGTTTCTATGCAAAAGTGGCTTGCGCGTTTCTGTAGGAAAACATATAAAATTATTAGAACGAAACACTTGTAAACCTATAAAAAATTCAGAGTGTCTAAAAAACTTGGAATAATGATTTTCCGACTCGTTTGAAATCGGATTTTTCAAGATTGAGACCATTTTAAAAATCTTCGTACGATTTCCGATTAAATGACCCCAAGTTTAGGGTTGTCGGTCTAAAAATAACAATATAGGCTCCTTAGCTAGGGCTGGGCGTACTTCCTGGGGAACGACCGTTATTTCGCGAGAACGAACAGAATTATCAAGAACGATCCCATCGTTCCAAAAGAGAACGAACACACAGAACGGGTTCTTAAAAACATTGGAGCGATTATCAAAAGAACGAATGTGGAACAAACTGAAATTGCTTGAAAAAAATTCAATAAATCAGGAACGTTCAGTGGCATACGAAGGGGGATAAGTGCACGGTTCCCCCTGGGAGGGGGGACTTATTTAGTATTACATCTAGAGATTTGTTGAAAAAAACTCGGATTCTTGATTTTGGAGGCAGTACTTTTAAAGCTTTTCATTATATTATTTCAAAAATCATTTTGTGAATTTCTTTTTTCATTTCTTCAAAGTTCACAAACCTACAAAGCAGTTTTATTAATGTAGAATCAATTGAGAGGTTTAATGTGACTGCAGATATATTTCAATTCTGATTCACAACAATACCCTTTAAAGCTTTGTCTGATCAAGTATTGCATTGAATATCCATTTTTCCCATTTTGAAAACTGAATATTTTCATCTGTGGTTTATCTACAAAAGTGACTCATGCATTTCTTGCTTCAGAAACGATGGAGAAATAAAGGTTTCAAAGGTACATCGGACATGCCACTCTATTAATGGAGGGTCACTTGAAATTGCGCATGTATTCCGTTAAAGTATAATTACATCATATGAAAAAAATACGTAAAAATCTAACTTTTGCCCTTAACCCTATTCCTGCTGGGGGGGGGGGTCAATTTCACCCCCCCCTCGGAGTTTTTTTTATATAACTCAAAAAGTATTGGTCTGAGGCTGTTGAAATTTTCTGACTTTTCCTACATACCTCTCTTTAGGCCTAAAACCGGGCTTTAATACTAACTGCCTGAGTCCTCAGGCACACTGCCTAAATGACTGTTTTTTCCTGTAACAAACTAAATCTTTGTTTTGACCCACTTCCACTTGTCGGATTTTGATAAAGTTTAGCTTTTTGGAAAGCCTTTGACATAAGGAAACGAATTGCACAAGTTTTGCAAAAAAATTGCAATTTTTTTGCAAACAACCTGTCAAAGGAAATTTGCACATTTTTAGTTTTTCTTGATTAAAAATCAGGTTATTTAAAATTTTGCAAAATTTTTTGCATATTTGAAATGGCATGGTCAAGAGCTTTTCAAAAATGTATAATTCATCATTTTTTGGACAAATTTTTTTTGCAAACATTTTTACTTTATAACTGGATTTTGCGATAAAAAATTCAATTTTTGCAAATTTGCAAATTTTTTAGCAGATTTCTAGAAGTAGAGCACAAGAGCTTTCCAGTGATGTATTATTTGTCATATTTGGACATCAAACTTGACCCCCCCCCCAGCATATCCTGGTTTTCAAGTACCCCAGCAGAGATAGGGTTAACGAAAGAAGTTTCATTAAAAAGCTTTAATCAATACTCCCTTCAGTGTAAATATATAATTGATATCATTATTTATGTATTAAATCCATACAAATATAGATATTTTTTAAGAAACATTTCCATATCTATTTTTCACCCCTTGAAGCTTACACCACAATATTATGAGAAACTTTTCTTGACTAAAAGAACACAAAGAACAAAACGGAACGGGATGGACCGTTCTTTGAATAAGAACACCAAGAACGAAACGGACCAGAACATGGATGGAACGATTGGGAAAAAAACGACCGAGAATGGAACGATCTAGCTGGAGGCCCTCGTTCTAGAACGGAACGGAACGATTTCAACATAGTTGGAACGTACCCAGCCCGACCTACCCAAAGCGCCATTTACTTTACAAACTTAAGGTCAAAATCAGGAGAGAAATAACTGCCCTGGACCCTGTTGTCTCCATTATTATTGAAGTTAGAAGGGCTCAAAAATGTCTTGCTGTTAATGATGGAAATTTTGAATAAGATTGTAATAAACTGTAAACTAAATTATATACACTGTTAACTAAATTGTATAAACTGTAAACTAAATTGTATAAACTGTAAACTAAATTGTATGAACTGTAAAGTAAATTGTATAAACTGTAAAGTAAATTGTATAAACTGTAAACTAAATTGTATAAACTGTAAACTAAATTGTATAAACTGTAAACTAAATTGTATGAACTGTAAAGTAAATTGTATAAACTGTAAACTAAATTGTATAAACTGTAAACTAAATTGTATAAACTGTAAATTAACATTGAAGACAAAAGATTATCTTTTACTTTTTCCTAGATCGTGCATTCAATCAAACAAACAGACAAAATGTATATTTATCTATATATATAATGTTGTTATCTCCGATGGGTGTCTGTGTGTGTGTTTGTCAGATTATAACTCAAGAACCCCATTGATATATTTGTCTAAATTTGATTATGGAACTCGGGAGAGCCACAGGAATTTTTGTAGCTTGGTTTTGAGATTCTAAAATGATTGGATCGATTTTTATCGGGGGGAAAGCTAAAATTGTAATTTAAGACCAAGTAATTATGAGTAATCTGGGCAGCGCTGGGTTCTCAAGCTAGTAACATATATTTTACCTTTTGTTAAAATCACGAAGAATTCTTTCTAGAAAATTCTACATCCTCCTCGACTCCTCTTCTTCATTCTCTGCCAGACCTTCATTGCCATCCTCAGGTTCAGGTATATATTCTTTCCAGTCCTCCTTACCACCTTGATCCTCATTACCATCATTCTCTTCATGATCCTCTGTGTTATCATCCTCCTCATGATCCTCCATATTATCACCCTCTTCATGATCCTCCGTGTTATCATCCACTCCGTGATCCTCCTTGTTATCATTTTCTTCCTCCTTCTGGAAAAACCCCTCCTCGTGGTCAGTGGCAAAGTTGGAGTTAATTTCTTCTAGATCTCTGGAACCTATGTTGTTCAAATCATCCAGGGGTTCTTCGTAATCCACCAAGAGCGGTGTTTGATTCGATTTTATCGAGTTTTCAGCCAACCAACTTGTTAACAGTTTATCAATCTAAATATTCATCAAAGTTATTTTAAAAAAAAATATATTAACACGTCATGGACACTGAAGAGACTGTAGGAGTAATTTCAAGCGCTCCACCATTTGTAGAGTGCCATGTCCGATTCTCAACAATATCCTTTAACACTATGACTGATCAAGAATGACTGACTTATTGCTCTACAAAAAACGCTTGTAATTGTTGAACACTTTCTTTGCCAAACTGTTTTATATATGTACACTGTACACTGTACAGTGTTAATATTTACTGTCACAGAAAATAAACATTTACATTCAAATTTAAAAAAAAACCGCTTTGGACATAATATATTCGGGATTTTCAAGATATACATTTAACATTAGCTGTGTTGAGTAGCGGCTAGCGTAAACTCTCATTACGGCAATTCAAATACTGTTTGAGAAATAAACACGCAAAGTTCTTTCTGGCCTCGATGGTCAGTCAAAGGTTCATAGGGTACCGTTGTTAATCAGGCATTGCCAACTTAGCATGGAGGGTTAAAATTTCGCTTAAAGTCTCCTTAGATGTTGTAAATGATAGTTTCTGAAGAATTCTATAGTTTCTGAAGAATTCTCTAGGTTCTGAAGAATTCTCTAGGTTCTGAAGAATTCTCTAGGTTCTGAAGAATTCTCTAGGTTCTGAAGAATTCTCTAGATTCTGAAGAATTCTCTAGTTTCAGAAAAATTCACTTGTTTCTGAAGAATTCTCTAGGTTCTGAAGAATTCTCTAGTTTCTGAAGAATTCTCTAGGTTCTGAAGAATTCTCTAGTTTCTGAAGAATTCTCTAGGTTCTGAAGAATTCTCTAGTTTCTGAAGAATTCTCTAGTTTCTAAGGAATTCTCTAGGTGCTGAAGAACTCTCTAGGGTCTGAAGAATTCTCTAGTTTCTGACCTCATTAAAGTTTCTTAAATCTTCTCTTTCGCAGACGACAAATCCTAACCTCGAGGTTATTCTGAGTGGTGTAAACTTTTGATTGAACTGAAAAAAATATATAAAATATATTTTATCTAGTTTGGGAACCCAGCCTGGACCATGGGATTCATAGTTAGTCCCACCAATTACAGGGTGTCCCACACGAAACATGACAGTTGGTGAATAGTTTAAAATGTCTTCTGCCATAATTTTTTAAGTTGTTTGATACAAAAGAGAATAATAGAAAACTATTATGTGGCAAAAGTAAAATTGATTTCAAAGTAAAGTATATTTGAGTAAAAGATTTTTTAACGAAATAAACGGCAAAAAAAATTAAATATCTAATACAGTACACAGAAGAAGACATTCAGAAATATTCACCAACTGTCATGTTTCGTGGGACACCCTGTACCAGCGCTTTATCGTAAATTACGATTTTAGCTATTTTTCACGCTAAAAGTAAACCCACTCAACTTAGAATCGCATAACCAAGCTTCAAACCTTTTCCGTGGCTCTCTCTAGTTCCCAATCAAGGCAAATCGGTAAAGGGGTTCATGAGTTATGATCGGACAAACAAACAGACGAACAGAAATTACAACTTTATATATATACTAGGTTGGGAACCCAGCGCTGCCCAGGTAACTGAAATTTACTTCCACCGTTTACCCGCACGATTTTACCGGGAAACAAAATTTTCGCTATTAAAGTAAATCCATTCAAGTCAGAATCTCGAAATCAAGCTAAGAACATTCCCATGGGTCTCTCAAGTTCCCCCAATCAAAATTTGAGGCAAATCGATGGAGGAGTTCCTGAGTTATGATCGGAAAAGCAAACAGACAGACAGACAGACAGACAGACAAACAGAGATTAAAACTTTAGAAGATACGCTCAAGCTACAAAGGTTGAAACAATTGATAGAAATAGTTCTGCAAAGACTTAGTTTAACATTTACTGCAGAAACTTTTGAGTAGTAGGAATTAAACATATATAGTCATTTCAATCCTGACTTCTTATTATTAGATGAATCATCAATTGAACCTTCACTTAATACGCAAAACTTTACATTTATTGACAATTTAATCCACCGATCCCGGGAAACGGATTATTGCTTCATAAAAATAAAGCTAAAAAGTAAATGTTTAGAAGTATTTATGGAACAATTTAAAAGGACTGTAAGCGTAAATACAAGGCACGTTTCGTGCAAAGATGTCAATTGTCCGATTTACATTATACATCAGTATCATTTACATTATACATCGGTATCATTAAAAGGTTTGTCTGATCAAATATAAATTAGATAAAAAAAAATATAATTTCAAAAACTAAATATTGTTAGTGAACACTTTTAAACCCAGAAAAACTATAATATCTTCCACGTTATTTATCAGATAGAGTTTAAAAGGGCACCGCTGATTGAAGGGTCAATAGAAATTTAGAAATTACGCTTACAGTCCCTTTAAACAATAATTGTGTAGAAGGAATTTATTGCATTACCTGGTAAGGGTGTACAATGTAATCCCTCGGGTCCCACCATGCTTTCCGAGCAGAATCATCTATATGTACAGATTCAATCTCTTCTGTCGGAGGTGGCGCCTAAAATATATGAAGATTCAATCTCTTCTGTCGGAGGTGGCCCCTAAAAGATATGAGGATTCAATCTCTTCTGTCGGAGGTGGCGCCTAAAATATATGAAGATTCAATATATCTTCTGTCGGAGGTGGCGCCTAAATATATGAAGATTCAATCTCTTCTGTCGGAGGTGGCGCCTAAAATATATGAAGATTCAATATCTCTTCTGTCGGAGGTGGAGCTGTGGCATCTAAATATATAAAGATTCAATCTGTTTTGTTAGAGGTGGCGCCTAAATTTATAAAGATTCAATAAAAGTTGGTGCCTAAGAAAGTACAGATTCTATCTCTTTAGTTAAAGGTGGCGCCTAAATATGTAAAGATATAATCTAGTTGGCAGTAGTGCATAAATAAGGGCAAAATTCAATTTATTCTTGAGTGGTAATATATAAAAATTCAATCTCCTCCATTGAAGGTGGCGCCTATTCATGTGAAGATGCAATTTATTCTGTTGGAGGTGGCGCCTAAATATGTACAGATTCAGTCTCTTCCGTAGGAGCTGTGGCGTCTAAATATGTAAAGATTCAATCTCTTTTGTTGGAGGTAGTGCCTAGATATGTGCAAATTTAATCTTTTCTTTAGTGGAAACAAATGGATGTCTTACTAAAAAAAACAATTAACTTACAATGTAAGCTCTAGGGGGTTATGATGATGTTCATGTTACCTTGTTGTGGATTTTTGAACCCTGCGCCCCATATCTAACCTAAGACATGGTTTATTTTATAAATTTTCAAAAATTCCAATCTTAATTTTATTTTACCTTTATAGTATTAATCAAAGCGGATCTTTTACTTCTCTTCCCATAGCGGGACATTGCATTGAAGGGCAATAACAATAACTTTGATGCCTCAGCTGTGTGTCTTACACCATTTTTTTTGGTAAAGAAGTAAGGGTCGAGAAAGTAAGTGAACTTCTTTGGTTTGATAGATGGGTCTACAGGATATGAATATCTTTTATTGTTTCCTAGCGATTCATGACGTCTATATCTGTCAACCTTCAGAACTGTTTCTGCAGATTCGATTTCTGGTAAGATGGTTGAAAACCCTCTTTTTTCCTCATCTTTCGGTTGAATAAATGCAAATCCTCGTTTTTCCTCATCTTTCGGTTGAATAAATGAAAATCCTCGTTTTTCCTCATCTTTCGGTTGAATAAATGAAAATCCTCGTTTTTCCTCATCTTTGGGTTGCATAAATGAAAATCCGCGTTTTTCCTCATTTTTGGGTTGAATAAATGAAAATCCGCGTTTTTCCTCATCTTTTGGTTGAATTAATGAAAGTCCGCGTTTTTCCTCATCTTTGGGTTGCATAAATGAAAATCCGCGTTTTTCCTCATCTTTGGGTTGCATAAATGAAAATCCGCGTTTCTTCTCATTTTTGGGTTGCATAAATGAAAATCCGCGTTTTTTCTCATCTTTAGGTTGCATAAATGAAAATCCGCGTTTTTCCTCATCTTTGGGTTGCATAAATGAAAATCCGCGTTTTCCCTCATCTTTGGGTTGCATAAATGAAAATCCGCGTTTCTTCTCATCTTTGGGTTGCATAAATGAAAATCCGCGTTTCTTCTCATCTTTAGGTTGCATAAATGAAAATCCGCGTTTTTCCTCATCTCTCGGTTGAATAAACGAAAATGCTCGTTTTTTCTCATCTTTGGGTGGAATAAATGAAAATCCTCGTTTTTCCTCATATTTGGGCTGCATATAAGAAAATCCCCTTTTTTCCATATATTGCGGTTGCATATAAGAAAATCCTCTTTTTTCCTTATACTGTGGTTGCATAAAGGAAAATCCTCTTTTTTCTTCATATTGGGGTTGCATATAAGAAAATCCTCTTTTTTCCATATATTGCGGTTGCATATAAGAAAATCCTCTTTTTTCCTTATACTGTGGTTGCATATAAGAAAATCCTCTTTTTTCCTTATACTGTAGCTGCATATCAGAAAAACCTCTTTTCTCTGTAACCTTAATCAAAACTATGAATACACTATTTTAAATATACTTACTCATCCTAGCACCAGTCAACTAATAGTATGCCACATTCTCACAAGTGCCAAACAGAGTAGCACTAACCTTCTAAGAGAGTTCAGATCTGATAGACTCTGCTAAGAATGTGCACGCCTCTCATATGACTGGTGCTTCGTATGCTAAGTATGTTTTTTTAAAACAGTGTAACAGAATTACTTTAAAGTTTATAAATACAGGTTGTTAATAAAGAGGGGGCCATTTCTACAAGATCTTTCAGAAAATTTTGGAACAATGACCTCTGTTTTGACCTATACATAAACAGAAAATAGTGGAGATTGCCACTTTCTTTGCTCCATATCACTTCACTGTGATTTAAAGGTTGCAAGCTCTAGAGCAAAAATCTTTTAGAATTCTGCCAATTTCTTTGGCGTTGCGACACTTCAAAGTTAACCCTGCCATAAAAACTGATGAGACTTTTTATAAGCAGGCTGAATCTATGCGATGTATAACTCAACTATTTCCGTTTAATTAGACACGTTTTCATATTCTTAGCAACAATTGTCATGTGTTAATGTAAACACCGATATTTGACCTCCAGTTTGACCTCTTCTTTATTATGGCCTCGAAATAGTCAAGATCTAAGGAGACTATCAAATCAAAAGTTTTTGGTGATTTATTGCATTTCATCTAAAGAATCCTACTTTTTAATGCATTTTCAAACACTCTTTTAACTCTTAGTACATACAATGAAAATCTTGGGTCTCCAATGGAATCTTCAGGTCTCCAACAAAAATTTGGGGTCTCCGATGAAAATCTTGGAAATTTTCTTGATTTAGTTTAAATTTCTCCTGATTTCAATCAATCTGTTCTTGAGTTAAACGACGTTTTTAGGATCATCTGAGGTCAACCCCAAAAGGGGTCTCAGAATGGAATGCCAAAAAACCAAAGCAACTAGTTTTATTAGATCTTAATTCTTTATAGGCCATTATGGTAAGTAGGTCAAACTGGAGGTCAGATATATGGTAGGTAGGTCAAACTGGAGGTCAGATATATGGTAGGTAGTCAAACTGGAGGTCAGATATATGGTAGGTACTAGGTAGGTCAAACTGGAGGTCGTATATATGGTAGGTAAGTCAAACTGGAGGTTAGATATATGGTAGTTAGGTCAAACTGGAGGTCGTATATATGGTAGGTAGGTCAAACTGGAGGTCGTATATATGGTAGGTAGGTCAAACTGGAGGTCAGATATATGGTAGGTACTAGGTAGGTCAAACTGGAGGTGGTGTATATGGTAGGTAAGTCAAACTTGAGGTTAGATATATGGTAGTTAGGTCAAACTGGAGGTCGTATATATGGTAGGTAGGTCAAACTGGAGGTTGTATATATGGTAGGTAAGTCAAACTGGATGTCGTATATACCACCATGCAATAATTTTGCAAACCCAAATCGGCCCTGGTATAAGCACGACGACATTTAATCTATGCTGCTAGATTTTTTATAATAAGAGGCTAAAATGTCTGACCTACCGTTGTAAGATCTATTAAATATTTCGACAATTGTTCATGCTTCTACATGTTTGCTTCCAAAAGTAGTAATTAGAATAAAGATTACATAACAAGGACTACCAACAATATAAAGGAGATCAATTGGATTACAATGTATTTGCATAAAATTATGACATAAACAATTTAAATGCAAATAGTAAAACATTTTAATCTTTAAATAAAACAAAAAAACTGGAAAGCAAAACTCAATTAAAACATGTCAATATGAACAAAAGTTAAAATAACGATAGTTCCGATGACGTTAATTCAAGTGACTAAGCACCAAAATAAATAACTTGTGGATATACCCCTTAAGTGCAGATTTTCAAAAAGGAACAATTATGAAATATATAAATAAGAGTTCACTTGTACATAGTTTACAGTTACACATCGTCCAAATCATACTTTTTCATTTTTAGGTTAAATAAATGTATACTGTACAATTTAAAAAATTAAGTAATAATATGAATGTCGTCTTCTATAAACCAGTGCTGATTTTCGGGGTTTACACTAAATATTCAGTCAATTTTAGCATTTTTACTGTGCAATTCATTTTAAGTTATAGTTGAGAAAAATACAGATAAGGGGGGTTATAGAACTCACGTTTAATATGAAAAATTAATATTTCCTTTACTTGGAAAGTACTTTTACTATCTATTTATTCACTTTCATCTTAAAAACTGCTGCCGTCTTCAATTCAAGATCTCATTCTTTTCAGTTGGTTTAAAGGGACTGTAAAGAAAAACTGAAACGGGGTATAGGCTGAAACCTAATCACTTTAGCTCTTGATTGAAACCCATAAAAGTTCTATCTGATTTTCCTGTCTCGAGAAATTGATATAAAACTGTGTCAAATTTACTCGAAAATTCATATGTATCCAAATAGTAGGTTTAAACAGATCATATATAGCAGATACACAACGAATCTGAAAACAAAGATATCCCAGAGGAAGCTATTCCTCACTTTGGTTTCCTCCAATTATAATTTTATATTTTTTTTCATATTTAATAGATATAATTGATAATATTATTATAAGACCGTATTACGTCACCAGAACTCCCACCAATGATAGTGCAGTATAGTGGTCACGTGTCTCTGTCTGTATCTTTAAATGATCATCAAGGTGTATTAATGTGAATAGGACAGGAATATACAGATAGATATTTAAAATAAAACCTGCAAAAGTAATAATACTTACATGTTAATATCTCCCACTTTACTTCCATGCAACTGCTAATCAAACTAGAATAAAAAATCAACATACTCATTCATATTTCGCCAGTCAATAAATCTAGTCTGTGTTAATCTATCTATACGTTGTTTCTGAACGCATTTAGTGGCCATCTTTTGTCCCTTCTTGGTTTTATTTTTTTTTCGTTGCTACCCTGGCCAGTGACCATGTCTAGTGTTGTATCTCGTTTTGATCGTTTAGTGTTAAAAAAAAATCCAAGATTTAAAAACTGTTATTTTAAAGTTTGCTTTTATTAAGCACCATTTTCGGAGAGTTTTATTTGCATCTATATTCTTTCATTGATATAATTTGACAAAGGAAACCAAATGGTTGGAATAAAAAATGTTAAAAACTTATTTTGTTTTCTTATACCATGCCAAAACTAGAAAGTGAAAATAAAGAAATGTATGTATCTTATATCTAGTATAGTTGATATGCATGCCAAAACTAGAAAGTGAAAATAAAGATGATGATACCCAGCAGTACAGTACAGATGATACCCAGCAGTACAGTACAGCCAATAAGCCTGATTAATAATTACACATAAGCTGCTAAAACACATTTTAATACTTATAGGCCTTCACAGCTAGCTGCTCATTTCTTGTATCAAAATCGATTAGATTGATTAAAATAAATTTACAAAATTAGCAATTCTTCCGTCGGCTTTATTTCTACAGCAGATTATCCTTCCAAATTCATCATCTAAAAAGTTTTGAAGAAAATCAAAATTTGTCCTTTCACTTACAGCTTTAATGTTGATTGCTTGTAGTCAAAATTAAGAATTTTGCCCATAAGGTCATATCGCCGCTTTCGCACCGTACAAACCACACACCTCTGACCCTTTAGTACAAGTAAATTAAACCTAAAGTCTGACCACGTCAACCTTGTTGCACCGGCTATTCCTATTGAGTGTCTGCTTTATTTACCCAATGTCTGGGCGATACAGTACAAATTGGGACTGGAAAGGTTGACCCGGCTCGGAAATTCAAATGTACTACGGCTGCCCGTGAAACAATAGTTTGGGCACAGGAACTGACTGCTGGTCTCTAACTTCTAAACCTTATATCTTTGCAACAAGATTGTAGGTTTTTGATGGTTCAAGGAGTATCGGATTATTAAATTGTCTGAATCCTCTAAAAGGATCTTTAATCGATCGTAATTTCAAATGACCTTTTGTTTACAAAGCAGCGGGACGAATTAAAAACGTTACCCTAAAAAGCACGTTGTCTGATCAAGATTGATTGATATATTATGTTTATCACTTTGAACATTTATTATTTTCAATTGTGGTTTCTTTTCAAACGGAAACAATTTAGGAAATTGTCACGTTTAAACATTTTTAACGCTTGAACAGCAAAAATTTCTTTCACAATTTTAATGATAAAGGTTAGTTAAGTGGAAGCACACTTGTAATTAAAAAGACATTTCTGTAACCCTTGTATCATGAAAGATTACGAATATTTTTTCCCTCATCCCATAATAGTTGAGAGAGAGATAACAAGAAAGGGTTGAATAGAAAAGACCATTTTCCCAAAGTAAAGAGGTTTCTAATAATTAGAACAATAGATACTTCAATATATGCTTCTTCAGCAGAATCCATTCATTTATTCATTGAATCTTGTTCATCATTCTATAGTTCTTATATTCTTTTATTCTTATTTCTAGAATGAGAATTTTTATTTCGCATTTATTCTATGTTGACTTTCTATCCCACCAAAATAGTTTTGCCTGTGTTTTCCTGGATTTTTACAAGCATTTTTCGCAATTTTTAAAGTAACTGAAGTTTCATTGGGGTCTTGTATTGTTTTAATGCAATTTTTACATCATGCATCTGTTTTTGGGTTGAATTCAAAAATTTAACCCTGCGTTTAGGATTGATTTTTTTAACCTCAAACAAACAAAAGTAAATAAAAATCTTGCAAAAATACATAGTTTCATGAAAAACACTATAACGTTGCATAATTAGATATTATTTTCTATTTATTTATTTTGAAATATTTTTGTTTTAAATATAATTATCAGTATAGTTTTAATTATTCATTCGATTTTTATCTATTCATCTATTTTTTAAAAAAATCTATTTTAATTCTAGTTCTACATTTTTTATTCATATAATTTTACATTGAATTATCATTAAACAATTTGTAACTATAAGTATATTCATCTTATCTAACATGGAGACTCCCAGATTTTCGTAGGACACCCCAGATAGAGATTTCAGAGATATACCAGTCATTCTAAAGGATCTTTTGAGCTGTAACTATAGTATCAAATATATTTCAAATACTAGACGTTTAGAGCGTTTCGCACCAATCTTCTTCTTCAACTTTTAGTTGTGGCTCTCTGTGAGCATCTTCTCTTCGTACATAATAAAACAAAAACGAACAAAATTTCGGGCATTTTTTTGTTGTGGACTTTCAAAATTTTACCAAAAATCAAAAAATTTTGGAGACAAATTTGTTAAATTTTGAGCATTCATAAACCTTCCCTAGCGTCATTAAGGTCCCACAAAATTTGGGCCGTTCAGCCGTTTTGAAGTTTATTGGATACAAACAGACAAACTAAGTTTATATATAGATGTATTTACATTCTATATATAGTTGCACTTGCAATGCAATGAGTATAGAGTTCACATGTGTACAATTTTTAATTCATTTATTCGCTTTCCCCTGGCTTTCTAGCAGTGTATTGGGGATATATGTCAGTGAAACATCATGGGGTAGCAGTATCATAGCAGATTATACACATATTATATTGTAATAGTATCATGGGGATAGCAGTATTATCTATTATTGAATTAATTTGTTTTAGAGAAGAATTGAGTGGTGCTGCGGGGTTTCTTGAGGTAAACCAAACATTTTATATTTTTAAAGGGATCGTTATAAAAAAATCAAAATAACTACAAAACGTCCAAGCTTTTAATTTCTTTGGGATAGATAGGGGGTTTATAATGCACTGCGAACCTTAATAAGCTAGTTCTATAGCAAAAATACAACTCCAACAACTAAATTTAAATTGAAGCTAGAAACAAGAAAATTGCAGTTTAAAATGTACATGTCGAAGGCTACAAAAAAAAATAAGAAAGTTGGTTAGGTAAAACCAAAGGCCAAGTTGTTGCGACTCTTCAATTATACAACGGTGGTACAGAATGATTGTTACACAATATGGAAACTTTACAATGTACTACATAGGTTGCGTACATAAAGATTTGTACAGAATAGTTATGGTACATGATGATGAAATGAGAGATATGTTCAGAATATGCTAAAAGTAGTATATTGTACAATGTACACAGTTGTCAACATAGACAATGTACAGAATATGCGGAAACATTACATTTAACATGGTGGTATACAGAAGTTATTATAGAATACAAAAGGAACAATATTTTGTACACAGGTAGTGTACAGAGAGATATGTACAGAATATGCCGAAACAATATATAGTCTACAAGAAAAAAATGTTACTGATAGTGAGGCATTACTCAGGTTAGTGAGTTGATTTATTAATATTTTAAAACAAGAAAACCTTATTTATTTATTTATTAAATTTTGTGTAACTGATAATATTTCAGTAAATTAATTCAAGTTGAAATTATTTCTTAAATCAATTTAATACATTTTTGAAGAGTAATTGTTAAGTAAATCACAAAATAATTATTTACAAAAAGACGAGCTCTCATTCTTTAGAACTTTGATGTTCTGTGGGGGACACTGTATTACAGGTGTTCTGCTTCAAGGCCGCAAGCATTAAGCTTTTATCCAGACAATCATTTTACCAAATTCTAAATTGTTTATTATTTTGAGGATGTTTAAATTTAATGCACATAGATCTTGCCAGGCTACATTTGTGTATAAATTATGTCATTTGTTGACTTTTAGACTGGTAAGTACGAGTGAATGCATTTACGCCAGTCACAGATCAAGTAGTCATAGATGGATCATTGACGCGGACCGCCCTGCCTATCTAGCATGAAAGAGGTTAAATAACCAGTCACCTGGATGTAGCTGTATAGTATATTTCGAGTAAATCAATCAATCAGGGTGTAGAGTTTGGGGATGTTCTATTTTAATTTTTTTAATATTTTATTTCATTTAAATTTTACAATATTTTTGAATATTTATATATGATATCAGGTGGAAATATTTTGAGATTTCTATATTTCTTGTTCTTCATTTTCTTCTTGTTCGAACATCTTTCAATTATATTTCGGCAAATAAAATAAAAAGAAAAGAATTTTTTTTGGATGTCCTTGTAGTTCACTACTTTACAAGAGAGAACTATTTTTAAAGGATTTTGCTTTTTTTGTGAACCCTGTAGGGGGGGAGAGCAATCGACTTACCCCCCTACTCCCTCCTTGACTTAAGGGGAATTTTAAGAAAGCTTATGCAAAATGAGGAGTTGTCAGTCTTAAAGCCCCATTGAGATGAATCTTCCGCAGTTGTCCAGTCCTCATGCAGCTGGTCGAGTAAAAAACCGATATCTTTGTGCATGGCTTGTAAACTCCTTCTTTCAGCTGCACCAGGCTGAAGATGAAGTCTTCTTTTATTCTATGTACATTCCTTACTCCCCTGTAGGATACAAGATGTGCAACTAAACCCAGCGCTCCCCCAAACTGTAAAGCCATGACCACTTTATGAGAGGTCCGTTCTCTACTGAGGTTGGTAAGCAACTGTGGGGTTGTTATATATTTCAACAGTGTGTCTAGTAGTTCCAGGAAGGGAGCATGGCTAGAACAGTAATTATGGAAATACAACTATTTTCGTTTTTTAACCCCATTGTGCAAGTTTACATGAACTTTGCAGCACATATAAACTTGTCAGACCCACGGAGGCGTCAACCATAGATAAAGATAGATTGCGCATAAGACGACATTTTTCATCTTGACAGATATAAATGTACAGAGATGTTTTAAAGATATTCCTATTATATAGATTAACTAGGTCGGTTGTGAACATTGGCTGTTCTTATGTCATTGAGTACTTGAGGTGTACATGAGTTCTGTAGAGAGAAATTTAAGTTAGTTAAGTCCTTCTCATGTCCTTCTTCAGTTCTCGTCAATATGAAATATTGCTCAGTGAAATATTGTTGTTCAAATAGTTCCATTCCCGGTGTTATTTTACACTCTATTATGAAATCCATTAAAACACCAAACCACCCCGCTTATCATTGAAGTACACTTTGACCCCTAGAAGTATGAGTTCGCGGACTGTACAATTCTTGGTGATTTTGCGTACATAAGCTATCTATGTTTATTTATTTATCTTTGGCGTCAACCCTCTATCTACCTGATCTGTGACACCAGTACATGTTGTACCGGCTCGGATTTTGCAATAGTTGTAGCCTTGTGAACGAAATGCATAAAGATTTGAAAGAATATATTATGCATGAACCTTATTTTCTAAATGCAGAATTAGATTTTAATAACTTATTTCCAGACAATTCTCAGAGTTTCCTGAAGCAACATTTAAACAATACTTAAACACAGAAGCACCAGTACTTAGAAAAAATAAAAACAGGTGAAAAACAAAGCATAATTTATTTAGGATTTTAGATTTCAAGTGCATAGAAAATAGAATCAAGATATTTTAACAACATTAATAACCAGAAAATGCTGGAATAGGAAAACGACTTTTAGAATCAAGTTATAACTTTAAAACCTTAATACACAGCAATTGTGCAGTGTAAACAGACCCACTTCAGTAAATTAGTGATTTAAGAAGTGTTTAATAAAACTAATTGCTTTTGACAACATCACAATCACTATAATCTTTCCAAGTAAAATGTATGTGTAAAAATACTCATAAAACCAGATTTTGTTTTTCTTAACTTTAACCTTGTTTGTTCAAGTTTATGGATACAAACAATTACAGACAAACCTAAAAACAGTCTAAACATATATTAAAACATCTTAAAGAAGGTTTTTTGGGTTTTTAAATGACTAATGAATAAAGTATTAAAGTCCAGTTTTTGATTTGAGCCAAAATCAGCTTGATTGGTTGATTGATTAATTGATTGGTTAATTGATTGATTGATTGATTGCGTCATTGATTGATTGATTGATTGATTAAGATCCAACCAGCTTCGTGAGTCAGGAAACAAGGCGTACTCTCAGAAAAATAATGCAAGTGCTTTAAAGCTCTATACCGATGCCATCAGGTAAAAATAAAACAAAAAATGTCAATTTTTTAAATTAATTTTTTGGTAGGTTAACATGACCTTAAATTGAATCAGTGCCATATCTTATTAACCACCTAATATCCTCCATATAAAGTAGAAATCTCTATTTGGTTGTTTATTAGCTTGGTTTTAAAGTTCTAAATTTTAACGGGAAAATTTAGTTTTCAGGCAAAGCCGGGTTCCCAAGCTAGTCTTACATGAATATAATTTTTGCAATTTAAATATTTAATTTAAATATTTATTAGTTAAGACAATTTTTATGATAATGAATTCAGAAAAGAATTCCTTTTACATAATTGTTAAAATATAATTTTTTTTAAAATCCTGTTCGTTAGTTTGAGAGCTAACGGCTAAATTTGAGAAAGAAAATTTTTTAATTATTTTTCATTGTTAGTGGTAATTGCTAATAAATATAATTACTACAATGTGGCACAGGATCCCAATTTACTATATTATATTAAACATAAAACATCTATAAAGACAACTTGACGAAGACTAACGCATCTACCCCTGGTAAGTAAAGCACAGGGAACGTACAACTACAACAAAGTGCATCCTCTCTGTATCGGAATATTTTGATTATTCAAAATCGGTACAAAGTAGCATAACTAATATAAACTAATATAAAATACTTTAAAAATACTTAAATTTTTAAAGACTTTAAAAAACGTGTAAAAAAACACTTCTACCCAGAATTTCGGACAGATAAGAATTTATAAAATAAATAAAAATAAATAAATAAAAGTTATCGTAAAAATAAATGAAAAGCCATAAAATATGCGGGGACCGTTTAAAGAGCTCCATATGATTATTTAATTGAAAAACTAAATATCTGCAGCATTCTAGTATCAGTAGGTTTAGAATATGACATTTTGTAAATTCTTTCGATGTCTCCGAATGAAATGTTAAGTGCTACACGAAATCTACACTTTCGCTTTAATTTGTTTCGCGAAAAAAATGCGAAGAAAAATACGGAAGGTAAATTATTAATTATGATTTTATGATTAAATTTCTAATTCTAATTTTGGTGTTTTCTTTAAAAAAAATGGAAATCTTTATTCAATTTTCAATAAATTTTCAAAGTTTTTAACAAAAACAATTTCTATTGTTGAAAAAAAACATTTCTAACTTGTGAAAAAATTTTGTAAGAAAAAAATATATAAATAGATAGAAAGATGGATTTTTACTTCCATGATTTTACCACCTTAAATTCCGCAAGTTTTTTTACGCAATTAATTGATGCAACTACAACACTTTTTTTTCGAAATTTCGCGAAAAAATTAGCGAAATATGAACGAAAATTTTACATTCTTTCGCTTAAGTTTTCGTTCGTTGGAAACCCTAGTTAAGACTCGGCAGTACCTATAGTTTACCGTGGAGCAGTACACTTTCTTTTTGTTTATTTAGATTTGCCCCATACCATCTAATAGATGATGATACTAGTGCAGGATATGGAGAAGAATTGGCTCTAGCCTTTGCTAACAGATCTGTTGTTTTAGGTAGGACATTACTTAATAAGGGAACTGTAAGCGTAATTTCAAATAACCCTCCATGCAAAGATGGCAATGCCCGATTTACAGCGATACCGTTAAAAGTTTTGTCTGATTAATTATAAATTAGATATCAATGTTTAGTTCTTTTCCAAAGTGAATATGACTTGCGCATTTTTTGCTTATAAAAAGCAATGGATAAATTATCAGAATTAAACACTATTTGAGTCAGGAAAACGTAAAAACTTCCACATTTTGGGTCAGATTAAGGTTTCAAGGGTACTGTTGTGACTCCGGCATTTCCATCTTTACATCTTGAAATTAGGTTAACAGTCCCTTAAATAGACTGTTGATGTCATAGAGTAATAAAACGAAGAGGTAAAGCTTAGATCAGATGTACACAATCAACCTCCCTATTAATTAATCAATAGAGTGTTCGGTTGTGTACATCACGATATGTTTACGTATCTAACGCTGTACACTTGTATATAGATTGATCGTATGAGCTAGGCTTTACCTCTTCGTTTTATTACTCTATGGTTGATGTAATTTGAAGTTACCTTACAGTTCTATTTCCTACTATCGATTCCATTCTCTTTTAATCAGATTGCGAGCAAATATTACTAAGATATTACTGTTTTTTCTTCTGAAAATTGAATTATTATTTGGTTGCTAAGAGTTGAATTTTAAGGGACCCTCCCTTTGAAGAGGTGCAAGGTCGATTCACAATCCTTTATTCGATAAAATAAATTGCAATTTGCATTAAAAATATTTCTTATTTGTAAATAATAAGTATTTGTTATCACAGTCACAGTGCAGAGGTAAACTTAAAAGCCGTTACGACACTTCAAAATCGACCCAATCCTGAAAATGATGCAGTTTTAATAGTAGTCTGGATCTAAGTACATATATACATATATACATATTTTTATTACAAGTGCAACTGAAGAACTATGAAGCTGCTTTGTCTGATATTGATCTGGCATTTATGGCTCAATATCCTCAGGAAATAGCAAATTGAAAATTATGTTCAAATATCTTAACAATCAATTTAGCATATCTAACAAATTGGTATATCTATCATATATCTTCAAATATTTATATTATGCTTAAATATCATAACAATCCATTAAACGTTTCTAACACTTTGGTATACAAATCTAAACATTCCATTCAACTATTCTAACATATTGATATATCTCTCACTATGTTCAAATATATTAACACTTCATTAAAGGGACTGTAAGCGTAATCTTAATTTATCTTATATTCAAAAATACATTGCCCATTTTGAACTATTACCTTTAAAAGCTTTGTCTGATCAACTATGAATTAGATAATATGATATCCATTTTTTGTTTCTTCAAACTGTTGGTTTTCATTTGCAGGTTCGGGCAATGCCATCGTTGTATGGAGGATTACTAAATTTACGCTTACAGTGACTAAAGTCCCTTTAAACGTCGTTAACATAATCATAAAAAAGACTTATATATTCTTCAATCCAATGACGAAAGAAAATTCTTTATTTCCTTTCGGACAAATTTTTATTCTAGAATTAATTAATTACAAGGGGTTTATTCAAGATAAATCCATCATAAGACCTCTCTTCATGCAAGCTTTTCAGTATTCATTTACATTTATTATGTAACAGTATTCATTTACATTTATTATGTAACAGTATTTCATAAAAACGTGCAAGAACTGAATGATTTGGTTTGGGTTAGGATGTTAACTACAGAAATAAAAAATCTATGTTTGTTGTGACTGTAAGTAACTTTTTAGAATCTTATTTTTCGGTCAGATCAAACTAAAGTATATTAAATGTAAGACTGCAAAATTTTAATCATATCTCTTTATTTGAGGAGCCAAAGTGAACATTTTTTTAAAACAGAATCGCAATGTCTTTAGATTGCTAGGACTGCGCGGCAAAAAGTTATTAGATTTGGTCAACCCTGCTCTGAATCTTTGTATCTTGGAGAGTGAACTGATTAGCCTACGCAGGAAATCCTTTGCTCAACTCCTTGTGATTCGGCAAAGACACGATATTTTTACATTTCTTCTCTGCAACCTTTTTTATTATTGCCCCAAGTACTCTCAATTATAAACTTCATGGACATTGTCAGATGTAAACCAAACTTTGATTTAAACTATTGCTGACAGCATTATGGCTGGCAGCAGTGGCTGTTTACAACCTATACAGACATTCTGATAGTAATTTCATTAGGCTCGGGAAATAATCAAGCAACTGAGAGTAAAAAGTGGTAGTGCTTTTATTAAACTCTCTTTACTATATCTTTACATAAGAAAACAAGACTTTCGTATATATGCCCCTTTAGCTGGTAATTCAGTGATAACCAGAAAACTCTGGAATAGGAAGTCGACTTTTAAACTTAAGTTAAGTCTTTTAATAGCGCATTGAACATAAGGCTCAGCAATTATGCGACCTATTCTACTTAATGAGTAATTTTATAACTTTCAAGTAAAGCTATTTGCTTTAAAAAAACAAATGTACTTGAGAATTGCTATAATGTCGTCTTCCTATTCCACAGTTATCAGAGTAATGTCAGATACCTAAACATTTTAAGAGATATATATATATATCCACGATATATTAGTTAAAATTATCATTTTTTGTCAATGTTTGCCGTATTTCAGTTATTGCATAGTATAAACATCATTATAAAATGGCAAAAAAATATACGATAAGACAAAGAGAAATTGGTTTAAAAAGTGAAGGCTTACTGAAAATATATACCAATTAACCTTCCATGTCCTAAGTCTATAAAAAATTGAATTGTCAAAGTTAAATTTTTAATTATTTGCTCGATTCAGAATCTGAGATATAAGCTGTATGAAAGGTATTTTTGTTTAATCATATTATCTAATTAATTCTTTCGCGGGGGATTAATACAAAATATTTTCTCTTCTTAATCATGTAAACTAGGCTTTTTTTGGGTTTTTGTTTTGAATACAGGGTTACACACACAAAGGATGAAATTTCAGATCTGTACGGAATTTATACTGTTTCCTTTTATTAATTATTCCCTTTCTTTGTCAAATCATAAAATAAGCCATTTAAGGCAACTTTTTAAGGGACCGTTCACTTATTTTGTAATTTCTTGGTAAACTAAATAGCCTATTAGCTGTTAATTAGTATTTATAGTCTTACTTTTCAAAGACAACTGTAACCGGAGAAAAAGCCGATTTTTCGCTCAGAATTCTAGAACAAAGACACGGTCCCTTTGTCTGAAATACTAAAACTAGAAGTTTTTCAGCAACAACAGTCCAAAAAAATTTAAATTTATCGTATTTTAAATTGCCATTGTGTGTTACTTTTAGCTACTATATACCAAAATGAAAACTACAGATTAATTTTATATTCGAATTTTTTTTTAATCCATGACATAAAAAAGCATCAAATAGTGTCTATAGGGAGGGACCGTCCCTTTGCTCTCGAATTCTGAACAAAAAATCGGCTTTTCCTCCAGCCACAGTTGTCTTTGAAAAGTACAACCAATACTAAATAATAGATAATCAGCTATTTAGTTTACCCCGAAATTACTCAAATTAGTGAATGGTCCCTTCAGAGCAGAAAACTTTGGGTTGTCATTTCTGAAGATTAGCAAATCGTCTTTGTAGTTTTATCCTTTGTTGATAATCCTGTATATTGTTTTCCTTTGCTGGTAATCCTGTATATTGTTTTCCTTTGCTGGTAATCCTGTATATTGTTTATCCTTTGCTGGTAACCCTGAATATTGTTTTTCCTTTGCTGGTAATCCTGTATATTGTTTTTCCTTTGCTGGTAACCCTGTATATTGTTTTTCCTTTCCTGGTAATCCTGTATATTGTTTTTCTATTGCTGGTAATCCTGTATATTGTTTTTCCTTTGTGGATGATTATAATATTTTCAATAGATTTCCACCCATTTACATGTCCAGGCAAATGAAAGCAAAACGAGAAAATGTGTAGATGAATTCAACTAAATACTATGAATAATATAAACAAAAAAATAAAAAAATTATTAAAAAAATAATTTTAGAAAAGGAAGATGTTTGCAGGCTTTAAAACAGGATAAATTAGCTGAGGAGGCGTTTAATTCTTGTCTGAGTGGTATCAGGTACTTTATGTAATAAACAATTCAATAAACACATGAAAATATTCTCATTGGTTAAATGAGGGTAAAAATATGGGACATTTTTTCGATAAAAATACCAAATCCATCATGCGTCAGTTCCATAGTTTTCTGTGATTAGTGACGGGCTTTAACTAGGTTTGAATAAGAAAACTTTAAAAGATAATATAATTATTATTTCTGCATCACGTGACCAGGAATCAGGATTTCCACCAATAGCCGTTCAGTATCTGGTCACTTGGCTCCGTCGGCTATATTAAATACAGGGTGTCCCACGAAACATGACAGTTGGTTAACAGTTTTGAATGTCTTCTTCTATTAGCTTAATTAGATGTTAAAGACTTTTTTCAGTTTCTAACATTAAACAAGTTTCTTACTTAAACATATTATTTTACTTTGAAATTAATTTTATTTTAATATGACTGCCATACAATATTTGTTATTACTCTTTTTGGTATCAAACAACTTAACAAATTATGGAAGAAGACATTTAAAACTATTCACCGACTGTCATGTTTTCTGGGATACCCTGTATATATGAGTTTTTGTATAACTTTGACACTGTTTATATATTAATTTCTGAGACATGGGGACATCAGATTGGTTGCAATCAACTGCAAGGTGTCTCAATAAACATGGGAATCAGTGACGAATTCGATGTCGTCTTTGTTAAGATTTAGCATTGTAATACCTGATTTCAAAATACATAATATTATTATGTCTGCTAAAGTTTATTTCATGAAAACGGCAAATGGCTATAAAGATGTGTGTATAATGTCTCCACAAGATAAACAGTGAAGACGGACAAGTTCACTCTGTTTGTATACTGTAATTTTCTTGTTTTACTAAGTACAACCGATATGCAGTCAAAACATAAACAAAAAATTTGTAAACATAGCAGACGAAAATCTTACGGATTACAGCTTTCTCAGTAGGTATCACTATACTAAATCAAAGAATTGATCACTGAATTCCCATGTTTATTGGGACACCCTGTATTAAAATTTGTAGGTTTCAGTCTACACTTTTACTTTAAAAGCCCCTTTAAGAGTTCTCTTTGCATAGTTTAATCAAAGAAACCTTTCACTGAATACAATATTTGTGTGGTATCTTATAGAAGTTCAAAACCTTAAAAGTTTTAAACAAATGAACCAAGTTATTGAACATCACTTTCTGTGATACGTACTTTAAAAAAATTAAATTTTTTCAACAATTTTTAAACACAATCAATTTTACTGTTTTACTTAGTTTATTCATGCTTATTTGCTTCTGCCACTCAGTAAATAGATGAGCTCTATAGAAATGACGCCTTACAGTTCCTTTAAATATATTAGAGTCTACAAATATTTATATTGAAATAATTTCAGAGAATCTACTCTTACAGAGGAAAAAAAACAGAAGCTTGAAACAGAAATAAAAGCTTTAATTAAAAATCTTTCACCGTCAGGTATTGCTAGGAATGTAACCTTCCATTTATAGAGGGGCATGTACAATTTATAATGATACCCTTTAAACCTTTGTCTAATCAAGGATTTTGTAAATATTCTAATTGTAAAGCAACAAAATTAATTGCTAAGAAATCGCGCGAGTGTTCACTTTCACAGAATATAACCTCGAGTCTCCTGTCCGGCACTCAATCTTCAGCTATATATATGTAGAGATGGATCGTTTTCCTTTTTTTAAAACGATCGTTTCGTTATGAAAACGACGACAAAAAAACTAAAACGAAACGATCGTTTAAAAAATCGTTTTTAAAAATCTTTATAAAACAGTCGTTTTTAAAACGATCGTTTTTAATTAAGTTCGTCGTTTTGTTAACGATCCTTAACGCCGACCCTTTATAATCTTCTTCAGAAAATTGTCAAAAACTCTTATTTTTTTGATATTTTGAAAAAACAATCTTATAAAAAACAATTGCTTATCGTTTTTATAAAAACAATCGCTTTCAAAAAGAACGAAACAAAAAAGATCGTTAAATAATCGTTTTCAAAAACGATTAACAACCGGCCCTTTATGTATCGTTGTCCGGACAAAGGTTTTAAGGGCACCGTTGATAATCGGACATGCCTATTTATCAATTAAAATTACGCTTACAGTTCCTTTAATATGGAACCGTAATTGTATTGCAACATGCTTCAGAAAGCACTAATACGTATCATTTGTAGTCTAAAGAATCAGTACTTTTCTTCATTTTCCACAGAGACAATACAATTTTTTGAAAACTGTAAGTTTAATTCAAATTTGAAAACCACCTTTAATATTTTTGTCAAAAGCCATTATCAGTTTTGCACCAGAAAGCTGACAGCTTCTTGAAGAAAAGTAACATAAGAGCCATAAAATCCTCAATTGCGGTTTTTCTTTTACAAAAGTCTGATATTGGTGTTCTAATACTAAAAGTAAAAAAACCGAATATAGTTTTCGCATTTTTCCGAACACCAACATATTAGCAATGCTTTTGTTTGGCTTCAATAAAATATCATCATTAGTGACCTTTTTTCTATTTCATCTTTATATAAACTTCGCTTGTCTGTTTGACTGTCTGTTTATTTGTATCGAATAAACGCAAAAACGGCTGAACCGATCGGGACCCAATTTTGTGTGGGACCTTGCCTGACATCAGGGAATGTTCACAATTGAAATAGAAGATGGGCGCGAAGCGTCCTGAAAGCCTAGTTAATTGAAATTTCTGTTAACATAACATAAGGTATTGGTTGATTGGCTTAATTTCAACCTTGTTTGAAACTAGACCTTGATTTAGATGATAAGAAGGGAAAAGAGCCTGAAAAAAGAAAAATTCCTCAATTAAAGAGAAAAAATAAGAATTTTCCCGCATTCTCAGATTCGGTCAGCATTCAGTACAAAGAGAGTCAAGGAAGGTAAGAAACCTTACATTTGTCAGTATGTTATAAAGGAATTGAATCTTTGCCACAAACTCATATTTTCTAATCCTAATATCTTTGCAACGTGATGGTGCAAACTTAGATTATTTGATCCAACAGAGTTCATACGACATTGGTTTAAAAAGATCATTATATAGGAATTAGAAAACCAGAGTTTAAAATTTAAATGCATTATTTTTTGAGTTTGATTATTTTATATATTAATTTCAGAATAAGTCAATTTAAATTTTTCTAACAATTCCATTATATTTCTTACACAATGGTTTTGTCAATGTATGTTTACTTTGTAACTGAATAATATTCGACAAAGCCTTTTTAGCACGACAGATTAATTAGAATAAAATTGTTTAAAAGAAAGGTGAAGTTTTTTTAAGCTGTTTTAAACATACAATTTTTATTTAAGATTTGGTGTTGCAGTTAGAGATATACCTCTAGGAAATCAAATATTAAAAACATAAGAAAATTATATAAAATTTAATGTAAAGAATTCCATCTGAAGGGTAATATTCTGATTGAATGAGATATTTGTTTTGTTAGGAGAATTGGTTTGCTTAGAAGAGCCGCCATGTTTTTATTTGCACGAGGAGATGACTGGAGTCAACTGCTCAAATTGTTTCCGGTCAGGGCCGCCATTTTTTTATCTAATTAAGATGTGTTAGTGCAGTCAGATTTTCAATGGCTAGTGTAAATTATGTGATTGAACAAATCTAAGAATTTCGTTTAACCACGAACATTGACAGTTGTGTCTATGTTTTTTCAAAAGGAGAAGACACTAGGCAAAATATGTATTTTAGTTAAATATCTCTTTAAGATAGAAATATGCTTTCATTGTAAAAAAATACTTTAAAAAAATTACTTATAAAAGATCTTAAAAAAGTTTATGCTGCCCTGGCAAAATCATTGCGGCAATTTCTATCAATTTGTTTTTAATTTTATCATTTTAATACCATTACATAATTATTTTTTAATTTATTTTATTTTCCATATTTTAGAAGACATGAAGCCCCCTTGCCTAGTCCTATCTGCACACAAAATGTGTTCTGCTCTCTTGTAAGTATTTATTATTCACCATCTGAAGTGCCGGCGTTGCCCGTTGAATTTCAAAAAGTCATCCATGAGCAAGAAAATTTAAGTATCGCAACAAAAATATTGGTATCTACAAAACCGGGTTTACGATACAGGGTTTCGGTACAATTCTCGGGCTCTGGGGCTATCACGGGTTCCCTAAAATTTGACAGCAAATTTGGTCCANACTTTGTTTAATATATATTTTTTTTTTCAATATTAATTATATTTTTTTAATCCAGGAATGTCAAAAGACTGGGATGTCAGGGTACCATCTTGTGGAATCTAAGGAAATTTTAGAATTTGTTTATTGAAAAGTTTGCATTTAAAATATCTAGAAACAATTTATGTATTTTAATCAATTTATTAATCCATTAATTAAAATTGTAAACATTGCCGATTTTTCCACTGTAGCAAAACATCTTGCTATTTTTGCTTGAGAACCTTTTAATCAAATATAATTGGTTTGTTCCTTTCAAATCAAATATAATTGGTTTGTTCCTTTCAAATCAAATATAATTCGTTTGTTCCTTTCAAATTAGCAAATTTTTAAAATTCTAAATTTAGTTCATGGATGTTCTTTTTCAAAACGGTCTGAAAAAGAAAGGAATTGGTTTAAATCATATTCCATGTTTTTAATTTAAATACTGTATATATATAGTATAGATCAGGTTTTCTCTTCTTTACTTTTTGGTTTTTAAATGATGAACATGTTTTAAAAAATAATTTTTTAACAATCACAAATTAGCAAGGTAAATTTCATTTGTTATGAATTTTCAGGATTTTACAAAAAAAGTGATTTTCCTTAAATAAAAGTTAGATTTTTTGGTATAAAAGTTTGCGAATTGTGATGTAATGCGTAAATTTTTTAATTAAGAGAATACCTTAGATTATTTATGGCATTGCAGTGCGAAAAAGTTTTTGCTAGGGTTTTAATTTGTTCTATTTTGTTTGAGTGAAAAACAAAAAAAAATCAAAAATCACTGCAAAAACTTTTTTATATATTCTATTTTCTTTGACTATTACATTAACAAGTAGTTTTATTCAATATTACTTATTTAATTGCAGGAAATATTAGGTGTAAAATTTAAGCTTTCAATTAAAGGTCAAAGATATATTTTCTCGCCCTATCCTAACAGAAGATATTAGATGTGAAAAATACCCTCAAAATTAAATAAAAGAAGGGTTGAGGTAATATCCAAGGTTAAATGGAGGAAAAAACTGTCTCTGCGCAGTCTTATGATAAAAGTCTAAACTAAAAGATGTTAAACCATTTGTACAGAATGGTTCCTAGCACTCAGGGCAGTGACAAATAAACCTTTGGAGTTCTTTACCTCTCTCCAACACAAATTAGGAAAATTTGTAAAATAGTTTTTTTTAGTTTTTTTAAAGCTCTACACACTCTGTAATAAAAAAATGGGTGGCCTCCAAAAAAGCGATTTTGTTGAATTTAATTGATTTGTTATCGCATATTTGGTAGCCATCCAATTCGAAATTTTGCTGCCAATAAGCGATGTCGTCTTTTCAAGATTTAGGGGTTTTTAGTTCACAATAACCCTGAGACAGAGGCCCAAAGGAGTTACGCGCATACTCGCTCTCTGTAAAGTAATTCAACGCTGCCTGTGCGGAACTCCTCTGGGCTTCTGCCTCAGAGTTATTATGAACAAAAAACCCATAAATCTTAAAAAGACGACATATAGTGTTCTATCTGTATGGTTATTAATCTATGAAACTTCAAACAAAATCATAAAAATATATATTTGTTAGTACTCTTCTTAAAAACTTATCGAATTTTTTTTATAAATACTGTTTGTTTTACAATGTTACTTCTTAGACCATCAACCAAAGTATGGCTTAGAAAAAGGTAACAAAAACTTTAATGTTTTCATTTTAGATTTTAAGAGAATTTCAACTTAAAAACATATTTTCTTTTTTCAGATGATTTTGTTTACAATACTGAGGACTTCCTAACACTCTACAATCTTGTCAGGAAATTAGAAAAATTAATTTTATAGAAAAGAAACATTTAAAACATTAATATTTTATCTAAATTTGTTTATTTTATTCCAATATTAATACTTTTCTTAAACCTTTAACAGTCATACTGAACAATGGGATCAGAAGGAACATGCTTATAAGGAAGATACAATTTTTGAAGTAATCTATTGAAAATATTCCTCAAACATTTTTTTATATTTTTTGCTTCAAACCTCAAATAAAAATTGGTTCTGAAAGGCATTTTTTGCCCTGTTCTTTGTCCGGTGCTTGCAGAAATCAGAATATTTTGGTGAAAAGCAAAGCTGTGATAACAAGTTAGGTAAATATTTAGAGCTATAGGGATACCCACAAAGGATCCGACTGTAAAGACGACCTGAAACTAAACATGAAGATATCAAGGTTGAATTAAGCCTACTGTCTCAATTTCTCAAATAAAGTCTATTTAATGATTGGCCAAAACCCGAAACAAGTTTGCAGTTGCAGGGAATCATAAATATAAGAAAACAAAAAAAATGGAAATTCGGTTCAGCCGTCTTCGAGTTTGAAGTCTCATCCTTTGTGGGTCCCCCCCTGATCTGACACAGAAACAGTACACGCAGAGTGTAACTTTTAACCTTATAAAATAAACCAGTTAATGGTCGTCACCAGAATTCTGAAAACTTATGATTTCGAGATATTTGTTTTTATGGGTAAAATCGGGCTCTCAAAATATTAACAATTGTTTTGTGATAAAATCTTTTTAAATCCCACATGTAGTTTGAACAATCAAATAAAGTTTATCGAAAAAAAAAACACATTTTGTGTTTAAGGTCCCAGGAACTAATGATAATCTTGTGTTTAAGGTCCCCAGGAACTGATGATAATCTTGTGTTTAAGGTCCCCAGGAACTGATGATAATCTTGTGTTTAAGGTCCGCTGATGTTAATCTTGTGTTTAAGGTTCAGAGGAACTAATGATAATCTTGTGTTAAAGGTCCCGAGGAACTGATGATAATCTTGTGTTTAAGGTCCCGAGGAACTAATGATAGGAAAGCTTCTAATCCATTTGATGGAGGTTGCAACGATGAATAGTCATGAAATCGGACAACTAGAGGTAATATTTACCTAATCTATATATATAGTGTTAAAGTATTTTTTATATGATTTAATTATACTTAAATGGAGCGCATGCGTAATTTCAAGTGACCCTCCATTTATAGAGTGGCATGTCCTTTGTAACCTTCATTTCTCCATCGTTTCAAAAGCAAGAAATGCATGAGTCTCGTTTTTAGAAAAACCACTAATGAAAATAATCAGTTTTCAAAATGAGAAACATGGATTTTTAATGCGATACTTGATCAGACAAAGCTTTAAAGAGTTTTGTCGTAAATCAGAATTGAAATTATGTCTGCAGTCACATTAACCTCTGAGTTGATTCTATTTTAATTAAACTGCTTTGTAGGTTTCTGAACTTTGAAGAAAAAAGAAATTTACAAAATTATCTTTAAAAAAGATATGAAAAAGCTTTAATTAAAAGTAATACCTCTAAAATCAAGAATTCGAGGTTTTTTTCAAGAAATATTAAAAAAAGTGTATAAGAAAAAAAATTTCATATATGATAAATATTTGAACGGAATGGAACGGGAATGGAACCGTTCTCGACAAAGAAGGGAATGGAACGGGATGGATCATTTTTTAATAAGAACACCAAGAACGGAACAGAACAAGAACGGAACGATAGAAAAAAAGGAACAAGAACAGAACGGAACGGAACGAGAATAGAACGATCGGAAAAAAGGAATAAGAACGGAACGATCTAGATGAAGGCCCTCGTTCTAGAACGGAACGGAGCGATTTAAAAAAAGTCGGAACGTGCCCAGCCCTAGCTTTACCTAATCCGTTTATTTATTTTCAGTGTTTTGGAGAAGAAACGTCTTGGTTACTTGGTACAACTAAAGCTGTGGGATGTGCATTAGGTAAAATGTAGTCTGGGGCCGTAACTTTTGGTGGGGATAGAGTGAAAACTTTTAAATTCGAAAATTTAAGTTTAATTTTGGGGGAAAACAAAATATCTCCGATTAATATATAAGAAACCATACAAAGAAAGACAAATAAATTAAACCACCTAAGGGGCGGGGAAGAGAAAAAGTTGGAACGTGCCCAAACCTACTCAGCATGTTAAACCCTTTTTTTTATAAAATATAATTAAATCTATTTCAGAACCAACCTTAGTTTTGCTCAACCATTCGTGTGATCCTTCGCTAATCAGGTAAATTTGAAAATTAAAAATAAAAAATATTTAAAAAGTTGATTAAATGACTCAAATAAACAGATATCTTATTCTTATTTCATTCTAGATTAAATTTTGGAACGTCAACGTTTTGCTTTGCATCTCGATTCATTAAGAAGGTATTTTTGCACATTTGATATTATTTAGGTTTAAATTTTAGACACAGTTTTTTAGAGTGGGATGTTCGAATCAAATATATGATTAAATATACTTGAGATTTTGCTTTAAAAATTAATGACATTTAACTCTAGTTTTTTCTAAAAATTTTCTGTTTAAAACTGCAAAACTTTCCAAATTACACAATAATTAAAGACGCCAATTTCATTCTTTTGATTCCTATATATCATTATGAGTTTACAGAGTAATCTTCATAGATTAATAATAATACAGATAGAACACTAGATGTCGTCTTTTCAAGATTTAGGAGTTTTTCGTTCACAATAAACCTGAGGCAGAAGCTCAAAGGAGTTAGACCAGGTTCTCTCTCTCGCTCTGTCGTCTTGTAATTCAACGCATCATGCGCGTAACTCCTTTGGGCTTCTGCCTCAGGGTTATTCTGGACGAAAACCCCTAAATCTTGAAAAGACAACATCTAGTGTTCTATCTGTATTATTATTAATTTATGGTAATCTATTATTAAAGGGGGAAGAAATAACTGATTCCTATACCCTTACATACGACGTAACACCAAAACTAGAAAGGTAATTGGATTAAATATACAGGGTTACCCACAAAGGTTGAGACTGTAAAGACGACCTAAAACTCTTAAAGTATGACAATTTTTAAAGGTTCCATTAAGCTTTTTGCTTTTAATATGTCATTTTAAATTCAAGTTCACAGTTGGAGGGAATCAATAAAATAAGGAAAATGACAGTATATAAATTCCGTAATGTGTTATTCCGGTATAGTATGAACTAATGAACTGTTATATGAAATGAGTACTAATCTGTAATGATTAATAAAACCAAATGGACGAAATATTATATTTACACTAAACATAGTAATAATTAAATGATACTAAATTATCTGATTGATCAAATTGTGATGTGAGTAAAGACGTGATCCTTCAGAGGCTTCTCCGCTGTCTACGGTGGATATAATCTCCTATGACCATTCGGTTCAACCTTTTCGTCAATACCGACTCTATTCTGGGTCCAAACATGACGAGTCTCCTATCTCTGGGTTTCAGAAACCGTTATCTCGATTCCTCTCCACCCTGGGGCAGTTGCCATACATCCGCCTTGCTCTTATCGTGAGTCTAACAAAAATTGTCCAACCCGATGTAGATGCCCTGCTGTATAGATTTAATAACGGATTAATAACCTCAAGCTTGGGTTTACTTCGAGTACTATATAAACTGTCCTATGTACAGCATAACATGAACTATGTACAGCTAAACGTGGTTCTAATCACAGCAGATTTAGATATGTTTGCAGACACATCTCTGTCCTCGAGAACACACAAATATTGAAAGGGTTTAATTGTAAATTGGGCATTCCCCTTTTTGCATCAAGGGTCACTTGAAATCACCCTTACAGTCCCTTTAAGCAAAAAACATGTTTTTAGACTTTCAACTCTAAGTAAGAAGTACAAGTTTGAGTGTAACTGTTTGGCTTGCAAGGAAGAGTGGAATACTTATCAATTATTACCAAAGTAAGATGTTTTACTATCTTTAGTTTAATTCTAGTTAAACTGCCCGGCGTTGCCCCTGGAATTTGTTAAAGATCTAATTTTGAAAAAAAGGGGTTTCGATCTTTGAAAAAACAAAAATATCGATTTTTTTAGCCTATTTTACACCCAAGGTACCGCATGGGTTCCCTTAAAAATGTCAGCTAATTTGTTTCAGCCGTTTGGCCAGCTATAGCCAACATTTATATATACAGTTTAATATATATGAGCGAAGAGCTTTATTATAAAGATAAATATGTCCGTTTGTTTATTTGTATCATCTTAAACGTCTAAACGGCGGAATTGATAGACCCAATTATTTTGAAGTAGCTTAAAAGACCCCATTGAAGGCCAGTGATTTTTCTGAATTCCAAAAAAATAGAGTAATTGACAATTATTAATTTTAATATTTAGGTCTTTTAATGATCTCGTAGACAACCAGCTGAAGCTGACTGCACAGGAATGTGTTTTTTATTTTGAATAGATATAATCGATATAATTGTTCCGTGTCACGTGACCAGAATTTCCACCAATACTGGTCTTTTCCATCAGTATCTGGTCTTGGGGTTCTGTCAACCATATTACGTAAATATGAGTTTTGGTTAAACTGAGACACAGTTTTATATCAATTTCTCGAGACAAGGACACCAGATAGAAATAATATTGGTCGCGATCAACTCTTAAAATGTTTAGGCTTCAGCCTATACCCCAATGTTTTTGCCTTAAAAGTCCCTTTAAATTCTAAAGTTCCTTTTTTTTTACACTTTACAGACACTTAATGAATTGACCTAATTTTGAAAAATTTTGTTGAAAAAAAAAGACAAATAAAACATGATAAAAAATGACATATGTATGGTTAGAACGCTGGATCACTGGGTGGCCGTGTACAAGCAATACAGCAGCTGGGCGCCAAAATACATCGGGTACAGCAGAACAAGGTTAGTGACAGGATTTCAAATATCAAAGATTTAAGATGCAGAAAGGGAGTGTCGGTGTCTGATAAAAATGTGGATTATATCTTTGTTTTTCTTTCTTGAAAAGTGATCAATTGTTTGTTACAGAAATGCGCAAATCCCTTTTCTAGAGAAACCACATTTTCAAAGAAAAACATGAACATAATTAATTCTTCATCTGACAAAGCTTTTGATGATAACGTCGTGAATAAATGAAGGCTGTTCCCGGACTTGTTTATAAATAAATATTGTTTAGGATTACAGTGGTGCTTTGCAGATATATCCAGATTTTCTCAAAGCCTTAGGTCAACTATTTATTCAGATCATTTCAAACATGATTTTTTCAAAAGCATTTCTGCTTTTTCTCACCCTTGAGTGTAAAACGTAATCTAGAATAGTTATAGCCAGGTGCGCAACTAGACATTCAGCTGGGGTAAATGAGAATGGATAAGAGATTAATTTCTTATCTTTATTTTCTGTTTTTGATGAATATTTGGTTTGACAGATGGAGTAATATCTCCCCCTCATCAGTTTTATGTTATCGCCAGGTATAAACTGGGATATAAAGGATATTAGGTACTTTCCCAAAGGCATTTTCCAAAGGGTGCTTTCCCAAGTAGCAACTTCAAAATCCCAAATGTGCAACTTCCAAAGTCTGTCCTAGCCTAAGCGTTTAGCCCTCTAACATCTGCTCAACAAGTGAGACTTCCCAAGTGGCAACTGTCACTTGGAGGTCACACTTGGAAAAATGCCTTTGGGAAAATACCTTTGGGAAATACCTTTGGGAAAATGCCCTTGGGAAAATGCCTTTGGGAAAATGCCTTTGGGAAAATGCCTTTGGGAAAATACCTTTGGGAAAATACCTTTGAGAAAATGTCTTTGGGAAAAAACCTTTGGGAAAATGCCTTTGGGAAAATGCCTTTGGAAAAATGCCTTTGGAAAAATGCCTTTGGAAAAATGCCTTTGGGAAAATACCTATCGACAGAAAGAATTTTGAAATAAGAACTTTAAAATTAAATATGAAAGTAATAAGCATGGGAATTCAGAAACTACTTGAATATTGTTTTTGTTTGTTAATGACAAGATTGTATATAAAGTGAGAATCTGGCAAGTTCTTTTTCTCTTTTAATTTTTTAAGGTGCTAAAATAGCAGACCTCATTTTGGAAATTTCAAAACTAGTATTTTGTAGGAATTAAATGATTTAACTGGAATACTACTAAAATTGCGTATTCGAATTAATGCCGTATGTAACAAACACGATATATAGAAGTAGTCACTAATAATTACCATGTTTATAGGGACACCCTGTAAACCCGTCTTTTAAGTATTGACAACAAAAATTTAAGAGAATTCTTCGAACAATCTTTTTGAACACTGATCGAGATATGTCCAGCGATGTAGGAAGGGGAATTGAGAAACTTACCCCCCCCCCCCTGTTATAATCTATTTTCTTTAAGGAGAAGCTATTCAACCTGCCTTTGGGTGCTCTATGGAAATTGTCTACGCATCAACTAAATTGTCTATACATATCAACTACATTATCTACGCATATAGTAAATTGTAAATATGTCAACTAAATTGTTCACGCATCAACTAAATTGTCAACGCATCAACTAAATTATCTACGTATCAACTAAATTGTCTATACATATAAACTACATTATCTACGCATTAAGCAAATTGTAAATATGTCAACTAAATTGTTCACGCATCAACTAAATTGTCAACGCATCAACTAAATTATCTACGTATCAACTAAATTGTCTATAAATATCAACTACATTATCTACGCATTAAGTAAATTGTAAATATGTCAACTAACTTGTCAACGTATCAACTAAATTATCTACGTATCAACTAAATTGTCTATACATATCAACTACATTATCTACGCATTAAGTAAATTGTAAATATGTCAACTAACTTGTCAACGCATCAACTAAATTATCTACGTATCAACTAAATTGTCTATACATATCAACTACATTATCTACGCATTAACTAAAGTGTAAATATGCAACTAAATTGTTCACACATCAACTAAATTGTCAACGCATCAACTAAATTATCTACGTATCAACTAAATTGTGAATTATACGTTACAAATAAATTGTGAGCCCATTAACCAAATTGTCTAGCTTAAACTAAATTGTCGTAAAACAGTCGGCATTGTAAATATCAATACAATGAAGACGACTATAAAGCCATTAACAGCATGGATACACACAAACATTACATAAAAACAAAGAGCAGCTGTCTTTGAACAGCTTCTCTTTCTTTACTTTTTTATGCAGGAGGGACAAAAATGTAATTGACAGAATTTTTTTCTGTAGAAAGATGCAAAAGGTATTGTTGTAAATCAAACATGCAATCTTTTGATTGAGGGGTCTACTGAATTTACGTTAACGTCCCTTTCGAATGTAAAAATGAAACTTGAAGTTAGTTGGGTACAGAATATTCTCAATAATCTCAATGTTTAGAATGTAGAAATGAACCTGGAAGTTAGTTAGGTACAGAATAATCTCAATAATCTCAATGTTTAGAATGTAGAAATGAACCTGGATGTTAGTTAGGTACAGAATATTCTCAATAATCACAATGTTTAGAATGTAGAAATGAAACTGGAAGTTAGTTAGGTACAGAATATTCTCAATAATCTCAATGTTTAGAATGAAGATATGAAACTGGAAGTTAGTTAGGTACAGAATATTCTCAATAATCTCAAAGTTTAGAGTGTAGAAATGAAACTGGAGGTTAGTTAGGTACAGAATATTCTCAATAATCTTAATGTTTAGAATGTAGAAATGAACCTGGAAGTTAGTTAGGTACAGAATATTCTCAATAATCTCATATGTTTAGAATGTAGAAATGAAACTGGAGATTAGTTGGGTACAGAATATTCTCAATAATCTCAATGTTTAGAATGTAGAAATGAACCTGGAAGTTAGTTAGGTACAGAATATTCTCAATAATCTCATATGTTTAGAATGTAGAAATGAAACTGGAGGTTAGTTAGGTACAGAATAATCTCATTAAAAGTTGATTAATGACACAAGTCTATAAGTGTGAATCAACATGTCAAGGATTAGGCCAATGACCGAAGCCTCCTCCCTACTGCACACTACCAGTCGCCTGGACTATTCGATTTCAGTACTAGTCTAGTATGATGTTTTCAAAATTATTTCTGGTATTATTCTCAAATTGATTAATTAGCGCTGAGCTGAAAACTTTAAAATGGTGGATATCGAGATCAATGCTTGATCTCCTCTTTTTCTTAATCTCCAGATAAATAGTGCTCATTCTCCTCTTGTTATTAATCTCCAGATTAATCTACCGATCGGGATTAAGGATATCCCATTCTAAAGTTTTCAGCTCTGATTAGATAAATCAACACAATCATGTTTCATGGCAGGCAACGTGCAGAGCTTCAATTAGGACAGCTAGATTCCTCCCTCTTTTCAGCAAATAATATGTAATGACTACATCCTTCCCAATGTACGCCCTAATTACTAGTTTTATTGAGTCAACACCCCCACTCCATTCATTAAAGAAATGAAAGAAACGCGTCCAACTCCATTCTCTTGCTTTAAAAGTTCGGGTTAGTCCTGTCTAAGTTGGAATGTTAGAAATTGAGGGTTAAATGGTTTTAAATGTCAACTTTTACAAGGGAAGTAACATTACAAAAATTGAAAAACATTTAACTAAAATATCCAAAACTTAGTAGAAAACTATTTTCTTAACAAAAAATCAAATACCTTGATATCTTCACTTCTTTTTTAATCTTATTAGAACATTCGCAGTTTTCCATTTTCAGATTTCTTCTTTAAAAAAAAAAAAAAAAAAGGAATAAAACATGATCTGACATTTCGACACAAAATCAATGAAAACAACTTAAAAAAATGTATTAACAATTGTAAAAAATCATAATAAAAGTACATAGTTCCTAATATAATAGTTAAGAAACATAATACGTGATGAAAGTAAAAAATATGTATTTTGTTTGTTTAATCATGATATAATCTTGATGATGGTATTGATTAGAATATTATCCCTGCTATCCGTGATCAGATTCCTCTCTGGTTCTAGGATTTTATCCTCCAGCAGTCTCTCCAGCTCTACTCTTAGCTCCTAAATAAAAGGGACTACTTATGTGATTCACAACAGTAATAATAATAACAATCTAAGCCTATAACTGAGCAACATGGAAAGAATTCGTTCTTTCTTTTCTTCATCTCTTCTGCATATATTCCCAAGTCACTTTAAAGAGTAAACGATTGGAAATTATCAATTTTTAAATAGTAAAGCTATGCAATCTTTGGTCATTCACATCGGGCGAAGGTTTAAAGGGTTAATAGGATTGAGGCTTGTCCTTCTGTGAGATGGTAACATGAAATTAGGTCAACAGTTCCTTTAAGAAATATTTTCTACTTCATTGTACATACAATCTCAACTAAAAAAAAGTTTTTATAAACACCACTATTTCTTAAATTAATCATTAATACTGAAGAAAGTTGGGAAGATGTTTTCTTTACTTACTTTATTATACATGAGAGTGTTAATGACTGAACTTAGAGAAGAAAACAGAAGAAAATAGTTTTCATTCAATTATAAACTTTAAAACTATTTTTCTAAAACTGTAAGTCTTTAAAAAGTATTTAATATCCCTTCTAACCCCCACCCCCTCTATTTCAAAAAAGGTCGTTAATATCATTCAAGTATAAAATATTTAAAAATATATTTTGAATATTCATGACAAAACAAGTCTGGCGAAATAATAATTCATTTTTAACATTTTAAAAAACATAATATTTTAAAATCCTCGTATAAACATATCATGATCTGAGTTAGTTTCCTTTTTATCAGCAAATAAATGTTGTCTACATTTTTATTCTCAACGTTTCCTTCTTTCATGCGTTGTTGAATGTTGAGCCTGGCAGAATATATACGCAAAAACGACGCATAACTATTCAAAAAGTATGCGAAACCATACGTGTTGTAACTTGTTTTGATCGCTTTTAAATTTTTTATTTCTTTAGGAAACAGATATTGCAAAGTTTAACATAATATAGTTTCAAAATCTTGGAAGCTTAATTCTTTTTCTTTTTTTAAAACGATCCTGAGCTGGGAACTTTAGAATGGGATACCTTTAATCCCGACTGCTTAATCCAAATATCCAATGTGGAAACTTTTAATTTCTTGCTTAATCCACTCTTTTTTGGATATAGTACAGAACAATCAAAAACCGGTTTTTCAAAACTAGAGAGTCCCCCAAAGTATATTAATCTCAAATGGCGCGCAAAACTTCAAATTTCCCGGCTTCTGATACGCGATTCTGATTGGTTAAATTTTATACACTTTTCAGGATACAAGTCCAAGATTAGGTTAGTCTCGAAATTAAGAAAAGGAGAGGATCAAGCATTGATCTCGATATCCACTATTCTTAACTTCCCAGCTCTGAACGATTAACACAACACTTTTGTATAAATACATATATCCCTAAACGTCTGATTAATAAAAACTCCGGTTACCTTAAGAATCTCAGCAATCTGTTGTGTGTCACAAACAAACTTGATCCAGCCTCGCTCCAGTCCAAGGACGTATTCTCCACGCTCCCGGGATATCTCTAGACCTGTTCCGCCAAACAGAACCATCGGTATCATTGGAACCATGCTCACCTCACGGACAAACAGTCGACTTGTCTTCACCTTCAAATCAAATCAAATCAAATCAAATCAAATCAAATCCCAGCAGGAATAGGGTTAAATAAAGAGGGTCTTTAAAATTTGTTGCTGTAGACAAAATATGATAGCAATTATTTTATTTGAATGATAATAATAATAAATATAATCATGATTGATTATAATATCTTTAAGGAAAATACCTGTTGCGGTTTGTTTGTACTTGACTTCAGGAGTTAGAACTTTAATTATATTAGGATAAAGAGCAGCTGATAAAACTGCTGCTACAACTCTAAACAGTATTATAGAATTAAGAGCGGTAGATGAAACTGTTGCTACCACTATGAGCCAAAGTAAAGTATTGTAAAGAGCAGCTGTTAACAACTCTAAACAAGATTGAAGAATTAAGAGCAGCTGATAAAACTTATGCTACAATTTTTAACACAATAAAATGATGAAGATCGGTTAATAAAACTGCTCCTGCCCCTCTTAACAATGCTGCTCCAACCCTAAATAAGATTAAAGGACAAAGAGCCATTGATAAATTGCATTAACCATTTTTAATAATGGCGCAATAATACTTAAAATTTACTAAAAATATTTTTAAATAGTTATAAGTTGAAAAGCAAAATGGCAGCTTACATCGTACAACCAACCTGTAATTCTCGTTGAACATATTAATCTCTGGACCGGTTAGAGCCACTACTGCGTCTGCGCCACCCTTGCCCCGGGCAGCTCGATCAAAATCCCGCATTTTTACATTTCCTGAAGTACAGTGGTCACTGGTCAGCATATATATCATTACAGTGTTTGTTACTTAAACGGTGATAAATTACAATTTCAGTCCCTTATAATGTATAAGTATATACACCGAACACTCTTTATCATATATATATATGTCAGCCTCAGTATTATATCACCATTTCAGTAAACGATTTTGTAATGATATTTATATGCTAACCACGGTACAAAATACAGAGGACTTACCAATCAAAACAGGGAGTTTAAAATTCATTTATTACCAGACGTTCAAAGTTTAAGGATATGAAATAATGAAAGACTAAAAACATCTTTTAACACTAACAGTAACAACAGACATAGGCATAAAAATAACTTTTTGGAAAATATTAAGTACAAAATAAGCTTGGAAGAAAACTTTTACTCTCAATTTTGGACGTCAATAATCAGCATTGTGGACTGATTCTAACACTTAATGACAAATGAGACTCTGTAATATAAAATTTACCTGGTATGAACCCTATGCTTGATAGCAGTTCAGCAAACTGATGCTTCAAGCTTGCTATCGTCTGCAAGGTTTTCTGACCTAGATAGTTCTCCTGTGCAAAGACCCATCCAGCGCGCTGACCAGACTCTGCAGCTTTGCACCAAGCCAGATAAGCACGCATTACGGTAATTTGATCACTTGCACATGCAACAAACCGATTTCGTGCTTTAGTCGCTGCTTCTCTATCTTTAAATGGGTTTGTGAAAGGAGAACGGTGGCTAAGAGCTGCAGCTATAGTTAAGGCGGAGTCCAGACAACGAAAAACAGCTCCAAATATAAGAATTTTTCCTACTCTGACATCTACTGGAAGCTGAGCAAGATGGTATCCTAGGGGTGTGAGATCTACTCTAGGATCTAGGGCTCCAACATCTTGAAGACGGGATATAGCTAAGGTGATTCCTTGGAGCGCAGGCGGTTCCAGGATATTAGAGAGAACTTGAGAAACCTCCTGGTTTGCGAAGCAGGGTAGGATTTTGATCCGTAGAACCATCTGTTCAAGGGGGATTCTCTGGATCTCAGGAACAGGATCCGTCCTGAAATTGTTTTCATATCTATACTCTGTATAGAGATGGAAACAGTATCCTGGTCTAACACGTCCTGCTCGTCCTTTTCTTTGTTTGGCATTAGCTTGAGATACCCAGACCGTGTCTAGGCTTTCCATATTCTTCTCCGGAGCAAACCTTCGCTCCTTCATTTTTCCAACCTCCAGAACAAAGACGCAGTCCTCAATAGTAATACTAGTCTCTGCCAGGTTGGTAGAAATCACAATCTTTCTCTGATCTAGTTTTGTTTTTGCAAACACCATGTTCTGTTCTTCACTAGTCAATGATGAGTGGAGAGGGACCAACTTAAAACCACTCTTTCCAAACTTACGGTGTGATGCAAGGTTCTCATGTAGCGTCTGGATTTCAGCCATTCCTAGAGAGCTAATTTTTAATCATAATTCAATTTAAACTAAACATTACGATAGAAGCCATGTATACACTATAGTTGGACATTGTACATTGTCCCTGCAATATATTTAGCAGGTAGGAAGACAAGTATGGATACCTCCTATGGAAGGACAAGGTTCCTCTAATATATTTACCAGGTAGGAAGACAAGTATGGANCAAGGTTCCTACAACATATTTACCGATTAGGAAGACAAGTATGGATCCCTCCTATGGTTGGACAAGGTTCCTCCAATATATTTACCTGGTAGGAAGACGAGTATGGATCCCTTCTGTGGAAGGACAAGGTTCCTCCACTATATTTACCAGGTAGGAAGACAAGTATGGATCCCTCCTATAGAAGGACAAGGTTCCTCCAATATATTTACCAGGTAGGAAGACAAGTATGGATCCCTCCTGCGGAAGAACAAGGTCCCTATTTCCTCCCTCTACGATGAAATTAAGAATATGCTCGATGAGCTCGAAGTTTATCTTCTCCGTATCCATCATAGCTAAAGTTCTAGCAACACTCTCACTCCAACCCATTTCAACCTTAAAAACAAAATAAATTTACTAAAAGTGACTGTTTGCGTAATTTCAAGTGAACCTCCATGCAAGGATGGCAATGTCCGATTCACAACGATACCCTTTAATTCTTGGTCTGATTAAGTATGAATTAGATATCATGTTATAATTTTGAAAACAGATTCTTTTCAATTGTGATTTCTCTTCAAAGTGACTTGCGCATTTCTACAACAGAAAAACATCTAGAAACTAAAATCATTACAATAAAACACGCAAACCTTAAAAAACGACAATATATTCCAGAATATTGACCAGATAAATGGTTCAATGGTACCAGAAATTGCCACATGTGCACGGAAGGTCGCTTCACATTAAGCTTTAAAGTCCCTTTGACTGCAAAATTTATCAAAAAAAAAAAAATAACTGTTACCTACCCTGTATCTATGAAAGATTTGTTTAGTAGAGCACTTTTCATCCGGATCTCTGAACAATTATAAATAATGTTAAATTTCATTTTGACGGAAAGTAATTCAAAAAAAGACAAATTTATTTTAATTATTAACAATTTAAGTTTAAATAAAAAACTTAATCAATATTAACACATCATTATCACTATTCGTATCTTTTATAATTCAAATTTCTTCATAAATCAGAAGCGTCTACTGGGGATATTGAGTTTAGGCACTGTAGATCAGCACTATTTACACAGAAGTTTCGACCTGGGCATTTAAAAAAATCTACATTTTTTATTATTTCATAACATTATCAATAAATTCCTAGGACGAGCAGGTTTAAAGTTCTCGTCATTTAGGAGCATTTCAGTTGTCAGCTCATCCATATCAGCATCCTGTTATATTGATTTCATGTTTTTCTTAAATTTGTCTTGAATTCGTGTTCATTCTTGAATTTGATGCAAGTAAGAACAAAATTGAGATAAATTCCATTGGATGATGATGGTGGCGTATGAATATGTAAGAAGAAATTATATCATAGCATGTTTTTTTGTTTATTCTTGAATTAATTTGAGTAAAGTATTTAAATTGGCGTAAAATTCACGCAACCTCTCACACATTCATACTATGATCATGTCTGTTATATTTGATTACCGCAATCAGAGGTGCAAGTAGGTGCAACTAATTTTTCTTTTAACCATTTCTATGACACCAACATTGTATTTTGCCATAAGTCTGGGTGCAGCAAAATGTAGCAAAAAAAATCTGCTTATCATCAAAAAAAAATGTCTTGAAAAAAAAATATTTTTTGAGGGTTCAAATATTTAAAAAAAAACTGAGTTTTAGTTCAATGGATATCAAACTTTTTCAAAATAATCTTTGATTGGTCACAAAGTAATGTGCTTAATTCTAAAAATATCGAATATAGTCTTCATGATTTTTTTTAACTAACATGTTAACCAGAAAATCTTAAATTTCTGACAAAAAATTTACATGACTTGACAAGAAGTATACCTGTGGGAGGGAAAAATAAAAAATATTTTTGATATTAAATGCATATTTCTACCAATTAGGATGTTTAAAATCGATATTAGTCAAAAAAAAGTGAAAAAAAGAACATTACAAAAAGTAGGTTTTGCAAGTTGCTGGACCACTGTGCATTGTCTTGAAAACGATCAAGAGCTTTAATATAAAAAGAAAACCCTATTATAATTTTGATTTAAAAAAAAAATTAAAATTGGGAAATGGTTGGCCTGGTCATGTTTAATAAAATGAAGGTTATAGTTTTTTAATATATACTTTTACTCTGGATATGGGCCGGGATCCCCAAAACCATTCTTTCAATTTGTGCCCATTTCTGGCCAAGTGTTAGTTTTGGAACAAATGTCCCCTGTAATAATGATAAAAAATAAAAGTTCAAAAGATTAAAAAAGATGTTTAAAAATGAACATTAATATCAACTATCAACTAGATAATTCTGACCTTTAAAATCTGCCTGTTCCCTTTGAAGAGTTCCTTATCTAGACCTCCTAGAGGGTTACGCTCCTGCCTCCTGGCGTAGGGTGAGTTCTCCTCCAAGGAGTACCTGGATAACTCCAGAGCCTGCTCCAGGTATATCTGCTGGACTGGGAAGGTTCGTCCTTTAAAAATTCTGCTTGTTAAGAGAGGAAACTAAACTATGTCTGACAAGTAATAGAAGTATGTGAACTATGTATTGATGTATGACACCCAATATGAATTGTCAATGTGTGTCATAATTTTACGGCCTGAAATTTTTGTACTCGACATGTGTATTAACTGAACGTCTTAATTGAATTCCTCGATGTACATCTTTAATTGAATTCCTTAATGCACGTCTTTAATTGAATTCCCCGATGTGCATCTTTAATTGAATTCCTTAATGTATGTTTTTAATTGAATTCCTCGATGTGCATCTTTAACTGAATTCCTTAATGTATGTCCTTAATTGAATTCCTCAATATACATCTTTTATTGAATTCCTCAATGTACATCTTAAATTGAATTCCTTAATGAACGTCTTTAATTGAATTCCTCAATATACATCTTTAATTGAATTCCTCAATGTACGTCTTTAATTGAATTCCTTAATGTACATCTTTAGTTGAATTCCTCAATGTACATCTTTAATTGCATTCCTTAATGTACGTCTTTAATTGAATTCCTCAATATACATCTTTAATTGAATTCCTCAATGTACATCTTTAATTGAATTCCTTAATGTACGTCTTTAATTGAATTCCTCAATGTACATCATTAATTGAATTTCTTAATGTACGTCTTTAATTGAATTCCTCAATGTACATCTTTAATTGAATTCCTTAATGTACGTCTTTAATAGAATTCCTCAATATACACCTTTAATTGAATTCCTCAATATACATCTTTAATTGAATTCCTTAATGTACATATTTAATTGAATTCCTCCATGTACATCTTTAATTGAATTTCTTAATGTACGTCTTTAATTGAATTCCTATATGTACGTCTTCAATTAAATTCCTTTATGTACGTCCTCAATTTGCGTCCTCATTGACCTTCTTCAATTCAAGTGAAAAGTACAAACATTATTTTTAAACACATGCAAAGAAAATGAGTCGATATAAAATCAGACGTACATTATTATAAAACTAACTAACTAAGTTAATTGTCAGAAAAATTTTCAATACTTCTAGATTTTCTAAGAGTAAATGCCATTCCTTTGTAAAGAGCTGGTTTTAACATGGATCTGTATAAACTGACGGGATTCAATGAAAATTGTTGCTAACAAATAAACCAGCTTTTTATAAAGGAATGGTGTTATTTATTCTAAAAAGTAAAATCAAATAAAATAAGATAGTCACGCCTAGCACCTCAAAAACCCTAACTTTTATTTCTCCCATTTATTTGTTTCTCCTCTATTACTGTTAGGAGTGTTGTTCATTGTTTTGGGTCGTTTTTGAAAATTTTTAATAAACCTACAATTTTACAACATTTTTCTCCTAAAAATTAGAAAAACTATCCAATGAACAATTTTAGAAAGATTTGCCAAATTTTAACTCTAAACCTGAAAGAAAATATAGCAAAACATGAACATAAACAGAATCAACCTAATGCACCTTAATAGTTGGAACACTTTTACCTGGAATTTCAAGAACAGGACAGTTTGTGAAGTAGGAAGAGAATAAATCTGCATTAAGGGTGGCAGACATCAAGACTAGTTTTAACTCAGGTCTCTACAATCAAAGGGACTGTAAATGTAATTTCAAAGGATCCTTAAAACCTGCGACTGATTAATGTTTGACAAACTTATTCTCATAAATCTACAAAAACGCGTTTAATTGTTGAAAACTATTTTTGTTAGCTATCTTAAGTTTTAAAATATTAATGTACACTTTGCAGAAAATATATGTTTTCTTTCTAAGTTTTGGAAACCTTTTTAAATATTCGGTTGTGTCAAGTTGTTGTGTTCAGGTCAAAATGTACAAAACGTACACACAGTATTTAAGAGGGATTCAAGTATATTTTAAAAATATTTCCCTTTTTCTTAGAAAAAATGCTAAAACTCTTCTGAATCATTATATGGGGGAAAATATTGCTGAATTAAAAACCTTTGAAAAATTTAGAACTAAAATCATATTTGATAAAGATAATCATTAATTATTCACCTTAGGCAAGGTATCTCTAAGAATCATGAGAAGAAAATCAGATTCCTCGCTTCTCTCGTGAACCTCGTCGACGATCACATGAGTGATCTCACCAAGGGTTGGATCAGACTCTAGTCTTCTGCACAGTTCAACCAAATAATACTATCATTATCATCATTATTTTCATTATTATCATTATCAATTAAAAACACAACAAAAAATATAATACTCTCAGAACACAAATCTGAACTGTTGAAAAAGAGAGATAATAAAAATTTCCTGATCCTTGAATGGCTCATCAAGTTTAGAATAAAAATAAGCGAAAGAAAGAAGAAAATAATTTGACAATTCTGCTTTGTTAAAAAAAAAAATCAGGAAATCTTATAGAAATGTTCATGACCTAGATCCGGATCCATATTTTCCAGTGCGGATCCAGGATCCGGATACGCATCAAAATTATATGGATCATAAGCATTGACTTGGAATGACTTAATTTTATTGCTAGATTTAAATTATTATTTGCATCATAACAGCAAACCAAGATAAAACATATAAAAAACAAAATTGATTTTAAAATTACTAATTTATTTTTGCAGATTTCCTTGAAACATGTTTAATGATTTCTATAATTATTGAATTTAAAAATAAAGCTTGCATTTCTCTTGGTTCCTTTTCAGAAATTAATAAGAGATGAATGAAATAATTGTTTAGATGATATAATGATTGGTTAATTTTATTTATTTGCTCATTTATTAAGTGCACTATCTACTGATAAGTTATTTGATTGATCTCTAATTAATCAATTTGTTTGATTAATTTGATTGATTATTTGATTGATTGATTTTTCCCTGAGAAGAATTCCTGTTGTACAGAAGAGAAGTCTAGTTTTACTGCTTTGTTTGCTCTCAAGTCTACAAGAAGAAGAATTATTAGTTTTAAATTCAAATTTCCCAATCATGTAATAATCCAATCAGATAAATTCATTTCAGCAAACCAAAGTTTAAAGGTTTATACAACAAAGAAATATTTCATTCTGCAACACGCATGCTGAATAGAAATTTATAATTTCTACTTGTGGCATCTCTATCAAAGTGGCATGCAGGATTTTTTGAAGCAGAAACAACGAAAATAATTTACAGATTTCCACACTTTTTGATGGAAAATCAACGATATCTACACCATCATTGCTAAAAAACCTTTGTTAAACGGACATGCCACTCTGTAAATGAAAGGCTTGATATTATGGCTACAGTCCATTTAAGTAGAATGAATAAATGGATCAAAATAAGCTAAAAATAACAAAATTATCTAATTCCTTTATCATTTTGCATTTTTCTCTACGAATAAAAAGTTTCCTTACCTAATATTATATCCTACAAGGTTTCCAACATTATCACAGCGTTCCTCCGCCACCCGCCCCGCCACACCTATGGCGGATATCCGCCGTGGTTGTGTGCAGACAAGATTACAAGGGGCGGAATTGTTCTCTAACCAGTCCTCTAGGATATACTGAGGAACCTGGGTAGATTTACCGCACCCGGTCATACCAGAGATAACAACTACCTGGGACCAAATACAATAAATAACATGATGTAGTTGAGGCAAGTAGACTTAGTTATACCACTTCTCTAGATCTTAAACATCAATAACTCAACACCAGGGAGTAAGGAATAGAAGGGAGATATAACTGACGCGGTTCGCCTTACCATATGATTATACATGCTTTGCAGACGGGTACTCCATTTGTATAAGTAAAGAAACTCTGTCGACTACTTTTTTCGATGAGTCTGATATTATTGAGAAGATTGACAAGATGAAACCTACAACTTATCCTGGAACTGACGGTATCACTTCCACAATACTCAAGGAATTAAAAAACAGTATTTGTAAACCTTTAGCCATAGTTTTAAACAAATCCTTGAATGAAGGCTATGTCCCTGAGGACTGGAGACTAGCCAATGTGACCCCAATTTTTAA